CCCAAAACTGAAATTCAGAATGAGGCACAGCCAGCCTGCCCCTCCTCACTGCCCAAAACTGAAATTCAGAATGAGGCACAGCCAGCCTGCCCCTCCTCACTGCTCACAGCACCCAAAACTGAAATTCAGAATGAGACATGGAAAAGAAGCAGCCAGCTTTGGTCTGCTCAGCAAAGCTGTTCCCCTCACGGCAATGCAGAGCTGCTGAGGGGCACACCTCGGGTGGGGGAGATTGGGAATTTTGGAGAAAATTCATCATAATTCCTTTCTGTGAGAGCACAAAAGAGGAATCATTTGACAGAGACATTTGAGCCCTGCAGGCTGAAGTGCCCCCAGCTCGTGGGACTGCTGGGCACTGGGAGCACTGCCCCAGCAGGAACATTCCAGAATGATGGCCAATGCCACTGCTCAGACCCTGCATTCCCACGTGAAAGGAGATGCTCCTCTGAGCAGGACACGACATCTCTGAGAGCACAATGCAGGAAGAGCAGTAATTTAGATTAAATGTCATGTCTTCCCTGCAGCTGAGCCTACATCTCCCAGTCCTGCCTTGTTTTAACACAAACCAGCCTCTCAACACAAATAAAGCTATTTTTTCTTAAATAAAAGTGTTTTTTTTAAAATAAAAGATCAAACACAGGCTCTTCCTTCCCACCCCAAAGGCTCCCAAGGGCAGAGCACCTGGTAGCAGCAGCAAAGGCCACAGCTCGTGCAGCAGTTGCTTCTTCCAACTTCTTCCTCTTCTTTTCTTCCATTAATTGTTTTTCTACAAAGGTTCGTGCCTCCTGCTCTGCCTTTAGCTTCTTCTCCAGCTGGCTGATCATTTGTTTGTCTTTTTGTTTCATCTGTACAGCGTTGTGCAATCTGCAGGGGGACAGGAGTGAGCTTAAAACCTGCCTGGGTTTGCCTCCCATGTTAGGACTATTATTATTATTATTTCTATTCACTACTATATATTAAATTATATAATTCTATTAATAATTATTAATATTGTTATTAATATTAATAATTATTGTAGTATTATTATTTTATTTACCATGAAAATCCCCCTTTGCAGCCCCCAGGACAATGTCACATACTTGTTCTAAATGACAATACAGCTGGCTTTGGCATTTACAAGTTATTATTGATCACAAAGACTTTAATATGGCACAGTTTGTAATCCCTTTTAATTGCTTTTTAATCACCTGAAGTTTTCTTTATACCCTTTTGAAGTTTTGAGGCTGCTTTGCCTTCCTCCCAATCCCAACCCACAGCAAAAATGAGTGAACAACTCCAGAGGGTGCAGGGGCATTTGGCCAACACTGACCCCACCACAACTGGGGCAGAGAAATCTCCAACTGGTGAACCAAACCCATCACACCAAGTGGGGCTTTCTGCCTGCTTTGACCTGAACCCACCACAGTTATAGATATAATAAATATATTTACTCCTTATTAAGCTTTATTTAACATGAAGAGTGAGCCCTGTTTCTGTCCCAGGCTGCAGGATGTGGCTGGGGGTATTCTGTCCCCATCTGTCAGAGCTGGGCAGCTCTCTCCTGTTCATTGGGCAGTTTTCTCTATCCCTTCCACACCCAATCCTCCCTCCAGGAGATATCTTCTGTTAACAGGTCATTAATTATTAATTATCTTCTGCTCATGGCCACGGAGTGTCCCTGCCTGGCTGATAAAATTCCATCATCCCACTGGGAGCTGCTCTGCCCAGGGGAGGAGCCAAGCATTCCTCCCTGGACACAATCTGGGATTTCAAACATTCCTCCTTGGACACAATCTGAGACACAATCTGGGATTTCAAACATTCCTCCTTGTTAGGACTCTATCCCTTCCACACCCAATCCCTGGATACAATCTGGGATTTCAAGCATTCCTCCCTGGACACAATCTGGGATTTCAAACGTTCCTACCTGGATACAATCTGGGTTTTCAAACATTCCTCCCTGGATAGAATCTGAGATTTCAAACATTCCTCCCTGGACACAATCTGAGAATTCAAGCATTCCTCCCTGGACACAATCTGAGAATTCAAGCATTCCTCCCTGGACACAATCTGAGAATTCAAGCATTCCTCCCTGGACACAATCTGAGAATTCAAGCATTCCTCCCTGGACACAATCTGAGAATTCAAGCATTCCTCCCTGGATAGAATCTGAGATTTCAAACATTCCTACCTGGATACAATCTGGGATTTTGGGACACCAGAGCAGCCCTTTCCCAGTGCATTTTCCTCTGCCCTGCCTTCCCAGAGGAGCAGCTTTCTCTCCCCTGCCCTGCATTCCCAGAGGAGCAGCTTTCTTCTCCCTTGCATTCCCAGAGGGAGAGCCACCCCGGGATGGCACAGCTGCCACCACCCTGAGGTGGCACTCCATCCTCATTTTCATCCCCAACACCGACCTGCCTGGATACAATCTGGGATTTCAAACATTCCTACCTGGATACAATCTGGGATTTTGGGACACCAGAGCAGCCCCTTCCCACTGCATTTCCCTCTGCCCTGCCTTCCCAGAGGAGCAGCTTTCTCTCCCCTGCCCTGCATTCCCAGAGGAGCAGCTTTCTTCTCCCTTGCATTCCCAGAGGGAGAGCCACCCCGGGATGGCACAGCTGCCACCACCCTGAGGTGGCACTCCATCCTCATTTTCATCCCCAACACCGACCTGTCCATCTCGGCCTGAGAGCCCCCTGCATCTCCACATTTCAACAACCCAGCGGGGCCAGGGGGTCCCACATCCAGGCCAGGGGAGGCTCCTGCCCCCCCGGCAGCCCCCCCAGGGCGGTGCCCACGTACTTGTTCTGCAGCAGCTCGTTCTCCTGGCGCAGCTGGCCCGTCTCGGCGCGCGCGCCGCGCTCGGCGGAGCTCAGCGAGCTCACCTGGCTGCGCAGCTCCTGCTCCACCTGCCTGCTGGCCTGCAGGTCAGCCTTCAGCTTCTTGATGTCCTGCTCCAGCCTGGGGGACAAATGACAGCACTGTGGTTGTAGCAGGGTGCTCCTTGTGGACCCAAGGAGCCCCGACGGAGGCAGGGATGATGCAGCTGACTCCACGTTCTCAGAGGTTCATTTATGACTTTAGAACTCCATATTATATATAAAAATACTATACTAAAAAATACAGAAAGGATACTTAATGAATGCTAAAAAGATAATAATGAAAAGTTTCCACAGCTTGGCCCTACTTGGCCAAAGAGTGAAAACAACTCACAGCAGAATCCAGTGAAACTATCACCTGTGGTAAACAATCTCCAAACATATTCCACACAGGAGGAGAAAATGAGATAAGAATTGTTATCCTTTTCTCTGAGGCCTCTCTCGCTGCTTTTCAGCTTCCCAGGGGGAAAAACCTGGGTGCAGGGATTTTTTCAGAGAATGTGAATGCCACACGAGTGAACAAATTACCCCTTGGCTCCTTAAAAAGGAAGAAAGTTTCTCTCCCCAGTTTAATAAAAAGATACCTCATAATTCCTTGGGGACTTCACCTCAAACTTAAGGATAACCAACTGACAGAAGCCAAAAGGTCCAGAATCACTTTTGTAGGGTATTTTTACCAAGAACAAAAGCCTCTTACCCCTGACTCAAGTTTTCTCTGCAAAGAGCTTTGTTATTTTGCCTTTTAATAAAACTTTTCTGTTTCTAACACTACCTCAAAACCCACCCTACTAATTTTATGCCATTGAGGTAGCTAGGCTATCTCCAGAGTAATAAATTCTCCTAAAACCTAACTCAAAGGAAAAAAAAAACAACCTATCACACCTTGGCTTTGCATTTTTCTGCCAGTTTTTGCACAGCTGTTTTGATGTGGTGCAGTTCATCCTTGCTTTTGGTAGAGTATAACCTGGCAGTTTGTGTGTGCACCCTGTAGCTTACAGAAATATTAATTATATTAATTGATAAATATATTAGACATATAGGGTAATTTGTATCCTGTATTAAATAATACAAGAATCATTTCTACTCTGTATTTGTAATCTGTATTAAAACACAGACTGTGGGATGTTAAGATACCTTTTTCATGAGGCATTTTCATTCTCTAACTCAGAGAATGATGTAAAATAATTAATGATTCCCCACATTTGTGGACTGTCTTACCTGAAAGACAAGGAAACAGGGACAAAAACCAGAACACCTACAGGAAGAATTTATGGACTCTTTGTTATCAGGGAGTGCAAAAACAACAGGATGGAGCGTAAAAACAACAAGAAGAAATAAAATATATTGATCTAATGACCAGTCAAAGGTTAAAACCAAGCAAGAAAATCCTTGAAACAACTCACAAGAGTGTTTGAATAATGTATAAAGCTCAGGAATATGTGTGTGCCCCTGTAAGGGAACAGTATATAGAGAATATTGTTTTACCCCAACATCACCAGTGCTGGATATTTGTCCCTTTTTAAACTTTTAAAAATTCTAAGGAGTGAACTTTGTTTTTCACACTGGCAAAGACAATTCCACAGGACACTTCCTGCCCCCTCACGCCAAGGCTCAGGCACATTGCATAAAATCAGAATAAACCTTGCACCATCTGCCAAACCCTCAAACCTGCAGCCTCCAAACAATCAACTCTCCCAGTTCTCTGGCTGTGTATTTAGAAAAGCTAAATAATCAGCTTTTCTCCAACTCCACACACACCTCAGAGCCTCCCCCAGGAATTCAGTGCCACGTGCTGAACACATCCCATGGAATGACATTTCCCCCGAGGTCTGAGAAGCCCCAAACCCGCAGAGATTTCACTCTGTCCACAAATGCTGAGTTTGATTTGCCAGCCAGAGCTGAGCTGTGAATTGTCACCTCGAGGTGTTGGTGTTTTCTTGCAGCACATGATGTGCATGCCGAGTAAGAGGATGTGTTAAGTCATCCCCAGCTCAGGAGTCAGTAAATTTAGTTTTAATTGCTCTTGAACACAGACCATCTGCTCTACACTTGAAATTGTAGCTTTGGAAAGTTCTTGAAGATTCATGTAATCTTTTTAATTAAAATATTGTTGAATAAAACACACGTTTTGGAGGAAAGGCACTCAGCTCGCTTTCATTTTCCCCCCACAAAGAAGGTTATTGATTCTTAGAATAAAAACACATCACAGGTGAATAATCAACCCTTTCCAAGTCTGTTACACACTTATTGAAAGCAAAACAGCCCAGCCATTCTCACACAATCCTCCTTTGCTCTGCCAGGTATTGATTTGAGAGTTTTTAAGTGTCCATAAAGAAGATGAAGGTGGTTTTATTTCCTAGGCTTGCATTCTGGATTGGTGGCAGTGGGACATGAAGAGCAGGAGAACATTCACAAAAGCCAAAAAGAGCTGCCCTCAGTGACACTCAGCAGATGAATGGCTGCAGCCTTCTGATTTCTTAATGAAACATTTTTGGGTTTCAGGGCAGGGAAATCTCAGCCTAAAAGGCACTGAGAGATGAGCAGGGAGAACATCCCGTGCCACTGCCTGCAGAGGGGCAGTGTGGAATCCCCAAGGCTGTGGAAATCCAGAGAGGGGGGTTTGTAACAGCAAAAAGAGCCCAGAGAGGTGAGGGGGGGAACGAGGAGCCAGAGCAGCCCCAGAGGAGCAGGGCTGGGCTGGGACACCTCAGCCCACTCCAGCCCCAGCCCCTCCTGCCTCTCCAGCCCCATGGAAGTGCCCTCCCAGCAAGATTAACTCCTTCAGTGCTCTAGAAATGGTCAAAAGCACCCTCAGAAGGAAGAAAAAAAATCAATTTACAGGCACAAAGCAAATACCCACCTCAAAGGGAAGTGCACAAATCACTTCAACGCCTGGTGCTCTGCTGAGGGAAAGAATTTGCAAATCTGACCAAATATTCCAACCTCAGCCCCAAAATGGGAAGAGCAGCAGCTGGCTTTGGGTGAGTGGTGCCACCCTGTGCAGTGTGAAATGATGGACAGGGCAGTTATTGGGCAAAGAAATCAGAGTTTTGTTTCATCTGCCAAAAAAGCAGCAGCCCAGTGTTTTAGAGAGAGCAAATGCTTTAATGAAAGAGAGCAAGAAGCTGTAGGAACCACCACCAGACTGGGCTGTGCAAACAGCTGATGGGTTTTAATCCAGGTTTTCACAAACAGGTGGAAAAATGCTGTTTCAATAGAGGAATGCACCTGAATGCCACTTGACACTGACCCAGAAACAACCTCAATATCCATGCCTACAGTGGAGTGATAACTGAAGATAAGAGCTGTAAATAGCTTCTACCTGTAGCTCAGACTGTGCCAACCTCAGAGATTTCTTTGGATTTATTTTGGGTCTTGAGCATTCCAGGAACAGAAACCCTGAGCAGATAAGGCCTGACCAGCTCTGAGGGGCTGGCACAGGACAGGCTGAAGTTGTGGTTTTGGCAGGGCTGTGGAGCCATCTGGCTGCTGGCACTCCTGCACCTGAGTGGGGCTGGAACAGAGCTCAGGATGCTGGGGAGCAGCAGAGATGAGGCCACGGGCACAGCCCTCCCTGCTGTGGCCTTGGAATTTGGGAATTTGTGGGGTCAGGGCTCAGGGAGGGTGGAACACCCATGAGACATCCCCCAAAGGGGCCAGACAAAAACCAACACAGAGAATTCCTCTCTGTCAGTGCCACACAGAACCACTGGAAACTGCTTTGTCAGTGGGCTTGTTTGGAGTGAGGTTTTACAGTGGGATTTCAGCAGGTTTTAATTACCCCTTTTCATTACATTGAAGGTTTTGCTGCAGCTTGAAACAGCAGAGCAGAGAAAAATCTGTTTTCTGCCAATTACAGAGCAAATACAGGCTCCTGTCTCCCTAAAACCAGGGGGAGATCAAAATCCACCATCATGCAAAGGCTTCCTGGGTGGTTTTGTCCCAATTAGGCAGACACAAGTTCATTAAGGAGACAGAAGAAGGGAGTTACCCCTCAGAGCCACAGGTGCTCCCTGCCCTGTCCCAGAGGTCACCTCTGCCACCAGGACATTAACAGCACTCCAAAACAAAAGCACATCAAGGTAAACCAACACCAAGGTATAAAAAAATATAAAATATATATATAAATAATAAAATATTAAAAAATCCCTGCTGCAAGCAGGGAGCAGGGCAGGGAGGCCTCTCCCCCCTGGAACAGCCTGCACTGCTGCTGCAGTGATAAATGACCCCTAAAGCAGCACTTTTCACATTATTGTTATTCTTGCTCTCATTTCATTTGCTGCTTAAGTCACTTATTTCCTGGCTTATTGGAGAAAGTTATTTACAGAGGAGGGGGAGCAAAGGAAACCTGAGTTCTGGAAGATGTTTTTCCCTCGCTCTGACACAAACCTGCTTTTAAACGAGGCTTTAGTTGCAGATTAGGTTGTGCTGTTTATACAAGCGAGGTCAATTCCTTCAGTTCGGCATTCTGTGACTGCAGATTTACCCATTTCCTTGGCTGAGCACCACCTCCTGCCACTCCCTGCCAGGAGAATTCATCAGGGATCACCTCGGAGAGGGAATATTCTCCCAAACGCCTCGGGGGAGATGGATGGATGAACCTAAAGACATCCCAATTCAGCTTTAACGCTCCCCAGCACTGACGGCTGGCTGCTCAGTTCACTCCATCCCATAATCACCTGGCAACTGCACTCGAATGAAACACAGCTTATAGAAAAATTATCATTTTAAAGTACCCACAGAGCCCTGAGATGCTCTCCAAAAGCCTGGCACCAGCAGAAGCTGGCAGTGAAGCTGCTTTTTGAGGTGTCCCTGCTGGGACTGACAGGCTCTCCCTGCAGCTCCTGGGAGCAGCTTTCACTCCCCAAAAGCCAGGAATCCCAGAAAACCACAGGAATCCCAGAAAACCACAGGAATCCCAGAAAACCAGGACTCTGCCCTTCCTGCTGCTGCCATTTCCAAAGGCTGCTCTGCTCCTGAGCTCTCTGCTGCCTGGGGAAGGGGCTGCAGGAGGGCTTGGCTCCCCCACTCCTCATTCCCATTCCCAATCCTGATTTTCTGTTCTGTGCTCGCCTTCCTGGGGCAGGAAAGCTTGGCCATGACCCCCCTGCAGCTGACACAGGAAACCTTCTGCTGCTTTAATGCCACTGCAGGCAGGGGGCTGAGCAGGAGGCACCAGCCCCTCTCTGCCCAAATGTCACAATATTGGCACCAAATCCACATCAAAACCTCCCAGTCTGTCCCTGCAGGTAACACCATTTTAGGAAAGTGAAATAAGCTGTGGCAGAGCAGCTTTTTGCTTCACCAAGAATTTTCCCAGTCCAACTGCCAGAAGATGTCCTCGTTATCTGTGGGAATAATTAGTACATGAGACAGCTTGTTCATCAGCTCGTGTGCCAAAGGCAGGACCTCTGTGGATACAGACAGTTCTGCCAAGCTGCCCTGCCAGGTTTTTGTGTGCTTCCAGTGCAGGGATTTTTAAGGGTGCTGAAAGGCAGAGGCAGATCATGGGTTTTGCAGCGTAATGTGGAATAAACAACAACAAAATTAATTCTGCAGCAATTACAGCTTGGGCTTGTTCCATATATTGGGGCTGTAAATCTGTTTCACCTCAGGAATGCCAGTGAAATGGTAGAAGAGATGAATTTGCTCTGCACCTCCTGACAAACAGCAGAGTGCAAAGGGACACAGGCTGATCCCAAATGGATCCCTGTGGCCCCATGGCCAGGGAGCTGGGGAAGGAGCACTCACACCACAGCCTCAGGGATAAAGGGCTTGACAAGCTCCCCCACGCTGACCCCAAATGGTTCCCTCCAGTGGCCCCATGGCCAGGGAGCTGGGGAAGGAGCACTCACACCACAGCCTCAGGGATAAAGGGCTTGACAAGCTCCAGAAGATTCCAGAACCCTCAGGAGATGTCTCAGCAAACCCCAGATGTTCCTGAGCCTCTGGAACCCCTCAGCTCCAGTAAGAATTAACAATCCCCAGGGATGGGCATCAGGAAGTTCCTCTCCACAAAACCAAGCACTCAGGCCCTGACATTGCAGCAGACACAGCAAAAAGAAAAGCTGAGCTTCAAATAAGAGCATGTATAAAATATTTGCATAAACCTTAACTAGCAGGACTCCTCCAGATGGATCACATCAAACATTTCCAAGTTAACAACTCTGTAAAACTCCTGCTCTCCAAAACCTCCTGATCTTGAGTGTCTCCAGCCCTGCTAATCCCAACCCAGCAGCAGAAGGAATATTTCACATTTGCTGCTGGTTGCTCAGCCCAGGGCCACCAGCTGTGGACACAAAAGGAAAGCAGCTCGGGTCTGCCATCCTGCTGGACACCCCGGCAGGAAAAGCAGCTTTATTTGGAAGCTGAGCAGGTCTGAGCTGAGTCTGAACAAATGCAGGACTTCACTCAGCCCTCTCCAGGCTCCAGCAGCAATGCAGGCTGAAAGTTTAATAACAGGAATGAGTAACACTCCTGGAAGTGGAAAAAATGATGAACAAATGCCTGCAACTCCAGGGATGGGATAACTGACAAGGTTAAAAGACAAAAAGCACCATGAATTTTTAAATTTGAGTGCATCCATCCCATCCAATTTGTCAGGTGAGTTTATGCTCCCACTGGTGTGGGAGTTGCACGGGCAGGCTGAGCAGAAACAAGATTTCAGGAATGATCCCAGGCAGCAGCTGGGAGCAGGAGCCTGGGCTTTGGGGCTCCTGGGCTGCCTGCACAGGGACATCAGGGACAACAAACAGCTCCAGGGGATTTGTGGCACATCTCCACAGCCACACAGCCCAAAAACAGTTCTCTGAAGGAGCTCAATTCCCTCGGAGGGCAGAGTGAGGCCCTTCTGTGTTCTGTGTCCTTCCCCAGCGAGTCCCAGGAGCTGCAATCCCCTCAGGACAGGACCTGTTTTGTTGCAGACTCATTTCTGTGTTCCAAAACTCACCGTGGGCAATTAGTGAGCACCTGCTCTAAGCTCCAACACCAGGATTTCACCAGGAAACTGAAGCTTTAAACACACCAGTTGAACTCTCATCCCTTCCCTTCCCTCTGCTCAAGGCTGAGCAATGTTTGCAACTGCAGCAGACTGAGCTGGCCCTTCAAGAGGGAGCAAATAAAGCTCATCAGGAGGGCAGAGCCTGGGGCTGGGGACAGCCAGGCAGGCCTGGAGCAGCTCTGCTGAAGGCAGAGCCTCTGCAGCCCATCCATCCTGTCACAGATCCCACTGCCTGCCTTCTGAACCTCACACAGCTTCTCTACAGACACCAGGTATCAATTAGTCCAGGTGTTTAATTGGCAGGGGTATGTCAGTCAAGGTAGAGTGATTATCAGAGGGGAAAATAATATTTCCATTGAAGTGATTGTGTTCCCACAGCACAAATCCTCAGAGATAAAAGCCCAATTATCAAAGGTACCTGCAGGGAAAACAAGCCTGACCTGCCAATTAAGCTGGCCACCACGGATTTGGTGGAATAAGAGACACAGGCCAGGTGGAAAATGCTGGAGAAGGGCAGAATTGTGGAACAGTTTTTGTTCCAGACATCCATCATTCCTCCATGCACAGTCACACCACTTTCCTCACTGGGGCCTTTCCTGGCAGCACGTGCCAACCAACACCATCTGTGCCAGGGTGAGCCCTGCTCTGTCCCACAGCTTGCCACGTGTGAAGCTGGCACTTGTCCATGCTGACACATTCCCAGGGCTGAGAGCAGAGCTGAGCTCAGCCCCACACCAGCTCCCTGCACGCTTGGAATTAGAGATTAAAGCAAAAGCCAAACACTTCAAAGGAAAAACAAAACCAAAGCACCTGTTCAGGCAGCAAGAAACCCCAGGGAACTCCCTGCAGAGGCAAGGCTGCTCCACAGAAGGGACACAGGAGCTGATTTGCTCAGCTTTGCCTCCTGCCTTCCACCAGAGTGTTCCTGGTGCCTCACAACAGAGCAGTGAGGCAGGGGAGCAGCAATCCTGAGCCAGAAATGAAGCAATCTGCTGCAGGCTGCACGTCAAACAAAAAGCAGGAACGCAGCTCCACACATCTCCTGGAGATCCTCTCCCACCACTGCACAATTCTGGCTTCTCTACGTGACCACAAAGGACATTTTGATAAAAAACCCCCGAGTCCTGATGGAGCAAGGCAGGAGGAGACAAGGCTCAGGCCCAACTTACCTTACCAGTGCATCTGGTTTGCTTAGCTGGTTATTAGGAATACAGTTTTCCATTAAGTCCTTGTGTGTGCTCGGGCTCTTGTTGGCACATTTCTGTTTTTTCTCATTTTTAGAGGATGAGGAGGGGATGCTCCCGTTGCTTGCACTGTGGCTGCGGGGTGAGGAGTTCACAACCCCACTGACATTTTTGTAATTTTTGGACGAGGCAGTGCATGAGTCCTCTTTTAAGAGGTTTTCTGTACTTCCTACAAGATCGTTATTTAATCTTTTACTATTGATATGGTTTTCCATATATTCAATTTCTTGTATTTTAGAGTCTACAGGTTGCAAAATGTTGTTGTTTATTCCAAGGTTGTGTTTCTTTGCATCCTTGTCCTTTTCTTTCCCTTTTTCTCGATATTCCAGCTCTGGCAACGTTGCAGAGATTTTTTTATTGGCTGGAATGCCTCCATTGTGCTGCAGGAGTATTGAGGAATCCATATCAGATAATCCTTTGGCTGCTGCAACACCAAAGTGGAAAAAAAAAACCAAGTTAGTTCATTAAATCCATCAATACCATGCCACAGAAAGAAAAAATCATTATGGACACATCCATCATTCCTGCAGGAAACTCTCAGGATTGGAGACTCTACAAAAGAGAATCCAAAGTCACCTATTTTAAGGCTTTTTGCCTCATTTCAGGCAGGAAAGAGAGATTTAAGAATAAATACTAGAGCCTCACACAACACTGACTGAGCAGAACTGAGGCCATAATTCCCTTTTCCTGTCACATTAACCACTCCAGAGTGACTCCATTCCTGCCCCTCTGAGCTCACCACACCCCCAAACAGAGGCAGCTCCTCCTCAGCACGTAAAAAACACTTAAATCATCATTTTCCCTCACTACAGCAGAGAGGGGAGCACACATGAAGGGATAACTTGCCTTCCTCTGCCTCCCTCTCTTGCCTCTGCAGCATCTGCTGCTCTGGGGGCAGCGCCTGCTGCAGGAGCTGCATGTAGAACTCGTTCTCCTTCTGCACCTCCTTCTGCTTCCTCAAACGCATCTTGTAGCTGACGTAACTTTTAAAGCCAAAGCCCAAAGTCACAACAGGGTAGCCAATGCTAAGGAGGGAAAAAAATAAAGCAATATTGTGAATCAAACTGTAGCCATGATAGCAAATTAATCACACAATTCACATTGTGAACCATGTCCACATAAAGTGATTGATAAAGTGGTTTTTGCTGTTGCACAGGAGCTTTCAAGAAATGCTTGGGATATCCACACTGCAGATTCCTGCCAGCACAGAAAGGTGGCACTGGGGCCTTGTTTACACACATTTCTCATGGAATATTTGTGAGGAAACACTGAAGAGCCAAGCCCTGAACCCAAATAAAAGCCCTGATAATTCATTTTCCTGGTGAAATAAAGGTTAATAGGACAAGGACAGAGAAGCACTCACCAGTGTGCTGCAAATGGACGACAAAGGTCCACATGGAAGTTTTTTAAATCTTTAAATCTAATGGCTGCTTCAATATAAACAAAAAGTATCCACAGTGATACTGTTGGTAAGCACACACCTCTTTCTGTGGAGAGAAGGGAAACAGAGGCACCTCAGGGACACAGATCAGGCAAAAAGTTATTTTTACATTTCAGGAGTCTGAGGAAACAAACCTTAAAGATTTTCACCAAAAAAAGAAAAAAAAAGAAAAAAAAAGCAAGTTCCCATCAACTTGGATGAGCACTGAAAATGAGGAATTCCTCAGGTTGCCATGAATTAAAATATTAAATCAGCTCAATAGCTACAGCTGCAACTGGCCCATCAGGCTCTTCCTTCTGAGCATCAACCTGAACAACTTCAGACAAGGCTTGAGCACATTAACACAGCCCCAAAAATAAGCCCACATTCTGCAGGTGGTGGAAGCTGGGCAGCAAGTGGCTCCCACCCTGCTGGGAGCAGTGACTGAGCTGTCACTGAGGGAGGGATGGTCACAGCACCCTGCCACCCCTGGCACCAGGGCTGGCACAAAATGTTCCACAAATCCCAACAATCTGAGCAGTGAAAAGTTACCCCGAAAAAATTTAAATTCAATTCCTTGAAACCACCTCCCCCAGCCTCACTGCTTCATCCAAACCCAGGATTTGTGAGAATAAACTCAGGGAGGAAAGGGCAAGAGGGGGACAAGAATTCTCCTGGAAACCCAAACTGGCATCACCAGCTCAGAAAGTGGATCCAGCTTTGCTAAAACAGAATTAAACTCTGATCACTGGAATAACTGATATTTGAACGTTATTAATTAAATTATCAGCACATTGTGGAAGAACAGAACATTGTCACAAACTTGTCCTGTGTGCTCTGTAGCTGTTCAATCACTGCAGGAGAGTTTTAAAGTCAGCAATTTAAAATTAAATTTTAAATTGAAAAAGAAAATAAATAAAAAGAAAATTCTTTTAACTGCTCTGGAACTCCTGTTTATTCCCCTCCAGTTCCTGCTTACTGGAGATGCCCCCCAAGTGCAAAACAAAAAACCAAACCAACATTTTTAACTCTAAAAAACGACATGAAGTGAGGCAACAGCAGAGGGGGTTTGTTCCTGAAAGATGGGAGCTACACTTTGAGCCCTGGGAGCTGTCAGTAAAGAAGGGCTGGAAATAAAGAAATCAAAAATGAGTCAGGAAGGTGGAAATGGAGAACAGTGCCCACCTGTGTGCCACACATACTGTACCCACACGTAGGTGCTGGCAGCAAAGAACAGCCACTGGATGGGGATGAAGAGCAGGCAGATGATGTTGGAGGTGAATGCTACACACACAAAAAATACTGAGAAGGCCTGCAAGAAAGGGGGCAGGGGAAGAAGAACAGGCTTGGTTATTCCACACCAAATACAGGTTTTTATCTGTATTAAAATACATCTAATACCTTTTATATAAAATATCTAATAGCGATGATTTTATAACTCAGCAATATTTCTAATTTTACATGGTTAATTTAAATATAGAAAATTATATCTATGTAAGTAATTTATAAAAATATAAATATTGTATGTATTTATATAAAATATATACAGCTATAGAAATAACAATATTTTATATGGTTATATTTTTATGTAGCCAAATATAGTACAAGTTTAAATTTAATATATCAAATTATACATTTTTCTATATAAGTATATATTGTATTTATATAAAATATATAGATCTATATAAATAACAATATTTTATATGGATATATTTTTATATAGCCATATATATAGTACATGTTTAATTTTAATATATAAAACTATACATTTTTCTATATAAATATATCTTTCATATATGTATATAAAAGATATAAAACTATCTAAATAACAATATTTTATATGGCTACATTTTTATATAGACATATATAGTACATGTTTAATTTTAATATATAAAACTATACATTTTTCTATATAAATATATCTTTCATATATGTATATAAAAGATATAAAACTATATAAATAACAATATTTTATATGACTACATTTTTATATAGCAATATATAGTACATGTTTAATTTTAATATATAAAACTATACCTTTTTCTATATAAGTATATATTGTATGTGTTTATATAAAATATATACATCTATAGAAACAACAATATTTTATATGGCTATATTTTATATAGCAATATATAGTACATGTTTAATTTAATATATAAAATTAGACATTTTTCTATATAAATTGTATGTATTTGTATAAAATATATACATCTATAGAAATAACAATATTTTATATGGCTATATTTTTATATAGCCATATATAGAGTACATGTTTAATTTTAATATATAAAATTATAAAAACTATTTTCTATATAAATACATATTTTATATATGTATATAAGAGATATAAAACTATATAAATAACAATAATTTTATGTAGCCCTATAGATAGACAGCATATCTGTGTGTACATACACATAGATTAAAATATTTTAAAATTCTATAGAAGAGGGTTTTCTTTAGAACAATACAGCAAGTCTTCTGTTTACACATACACAAGATTATATACAAATTCTGCTTAATTCAAAGCCAGCTTGGCAATTTAAACACGACTTCTCTGGGGTGAAATTGGGCTAAATCTTGATTTCATTTCCCATTCAGGCACGTGGGAGATTGCACTGCTGTCCTGTGCCCACTCACCAGGCCCTGGGATGGAAACTGGGCTAAATCCTGATTTCATTTCCCATTCAGGCACGTGGGAGATTGCACTGCTGTCCTGTGCCCACTCACCAGGCCCTGGGATGGAAACTGGGCTAAATCCTGATTTCATTTCCCATTCAGGCACGTGGGAGATTGCACTGCTGTCCTGTGCCCACTCACCAGGCCCTGGGATGGAAATTGGGCTAAATCTTGATTTCATTTCCCACTAAGGCACGTGGCAGAGGGCACTGCTGCCCTGTGCCCACTCACCAGGCCCTGGGATGGAAATTGGGCTAAATCCTGATTTCATTTCCCATTCAGGCACATGGCACAGGGGCACTGCTGCCCTGTGCCCACTCACCAGGCCCTGGTAGCGGAAGGAGTCGTACACGCTCCTGATGAAGAGCCAGAAGGGCCACAGGTACTCAAACCTGAACTCCAGCACAAAGTCTGCCAGCAGCACCAGGGCCCACACCACCAGGAACTTCAGGTACAGGAAGGTGCTGGGGGAAAGAAAAAGGACATTTCAGCTCAGGCTTTCCAACAGCAAACTGACTTTTTAAAAATTAAAATATTCAGAATGAAAACTAAGGACAGCTGTAATACACAGAAATAAGAATGTCAGCTAAAATAAACAAAAAAACCCAAACTTAAACTTATTTTATAATTTTTTTTTTTTTTATTCTCCCATTACAAAATCTGCCAGGGTCCACACCACCAGGAACTTCAGGTACAGGAAGGTGCTGGGGGAAAGAAAAAGGACATTTCAGCTCAGGCTTTCCAACAGCAAACTGACTTTTTAAAAATTAAAATATTCAGAATTAAAAGTAAGGACAGCTGTAATACATAGAAATAAGAATGTCAGCTAAAATAAACAAAAAAACCCAAAACCTAAACTTATTTTATAATTTTTTTTTTTTTTATTCTCCCATTACAAAATCTGCCAGGGTCCACACCACCAGGAACTTCAGGTACAGGAAGGTGCTGGGGGAAAGAAAAAGGACATTTCAGGTCAGGCTTTCCAACTGGCAAACTGATTTTATTTTTTTTTTTTTAATTAAAATATTCAGAATTAAAACTAAGGACAACTGTAATACATAGAAGGAAGAATGTCAGCTAAAATAATTTTATAAAATAAGTTTAGGCTTGTTTGTTTTGGTTTTTTTGGGTTTTTTTGGTGGTTTTTTTTTAATTTTTATTTTTTTTTATTCTTTTTTTTTTTTTTTGGCGGGGTTTTTTGGTGGTTTTTTTTTGGGGTTTTTTGGTGGTTTTTTTTTATTTTTATTTTTTTTTATTCTCCCATTACAGCTGGCCTAACGAAGCCAACACTGAACTGCATTTATTTTTATTCCCAATAAACAGCAGGGTCCCTGCTCATCAGCACCCATCTCCCTCCCCAGCAGGCTGCAGATGTTCCCTCATTTATCAGACTGCAACACCAATGAACTGAGGTGTGTTTTAATCCTACAGCAATTTCAAGACTGATTTTATATTATCAGTGTTAGATTTGAAAACATTTCTATGGAGGCAAATGGATCCCTTACAAACAAACAAACCAACCCCCAAAAAATGGAAGCGCACGAGGCCTGAGAGCAGCCTAACTTCTATTTTTAATTATTTCTGAGCCACATTCCCATGTTCTGAGTCCTGCATTTTGAACCACTGATGATCCTTCTTGGCAACAGAGCTTAAAAACATTCTGAGCTCATACCCAAGCAACACTTGAGGCATCAGCCCAATCCATTCTTCCAAAAAAGCAGAAAAAAACCCCTTTTTTTCCCCAAAGCCACCACCCCAGATCTGTCACTCCAGCTCGCCCCTTGCTGCTCTCTATTAGGTTACAACAAAAAAAAAGGGGGAGGGGGTAAAAATATTTTTTTCTTGTTTAAATGAAATGCAAATTGTCCTTTTAGGAACTTTTTTCCCTCCCGTGCCAGCACAAGCAGCAGAACTTTGCCCTGGAATGTTGAGTGGGAGGTGCCCAGGGTTGGCACCTTTGCCAGGCAGGGTCGAGTTTCTGCCCTGCTGGGGCCACGGGGCTTTTTTAGGAACTTGTTCAGAGCTTGGGGGAAGAGACAAAACACCAAATTTCCCGGGAAAGAGCTGGGTACAGGCAGAGGTGTGGAAATGACTGAACTTGTGCAATTCCCAGCCAAGTTCGGGCAATGCACAGGGCTGGGCAAACTCTTGGGTTTCCTGGGAGTCAGGGGTGAGTGGCAGGTGCCTGAGAGTGCCCTTACCCACAGAATGGGCAGGGAAAAACACTGCAGAAGGCTCCAGAAACACTTCAGTGGAATGGAAACAAAATCCATGGCACACACTTGCACATTGAAGGAAGTTCTGAGGGAGCCAGCCCCAGGCATTGAGCATTTTAAAAATGCTCAAACCCAAGGAAATATCCCACACCAAAACCCCAAATGGTGACACTGTCCTGGTGGATCATGCTTCCCCAGGCTGCCTCTCCCTAGCTACAGATCCTCACCAGAACTCTGTAAAAAGCAGCTGCACTCAGAGAACATTTGACCCTGAAGGTGACAATTTGCTCCAGACTCTGGAATTGCACCCGTGCAACTCCTCAGAGCTGAGGCATTCCAGAAAACCATGGCAGCCAGGAATTCCCTGCTCACTTCAGTTGTGTTGTGGAGCCTTTTGCTGGGCTCCTCTGGTGGCTATTGTTGATTTTCCTGCACTGAAGGCAGGAGGAGACCCCATTTTCCCAGCAAACGAGGCTGTCAGGACTGATGCTGCTCAGCAGTGAAGTGCCACTCCAATGAAAGCATTTGCTGAACAAGAGTTCTGTAACACAGCCATTAAAGTGATTTCTGATATTAAATTCCTATCAATCCAAGGGCCCTGCTGACACTTAGCACCTTCTAAAGTGGAACTGGAACAATGCAACACTTGTAAGGAGGTTTTGCCAACACTATTAAAGAGCCTATTTCTCATTGTCTGAAGAGCTCAGAACTCCAGGAGTTCAGGAAAGTCTCAAAGCTCAATCCTGGGGTTGGCCCCAGCAGGGAAGGAGCCCAAATCCCAAATCCTGCTGCCCCTGAGGTGCTGCACAGGCAGGTTTGTGTTCCCAGCTGAAACACACCCCCAGGAATGAAATCCCCTGGAAAACCTCTTTATTCCAAATGTATTCCACGAGGCCAACTGGAATTCTGAGGTGGATCCAAGACAGGGAAGATTCTTGCAGGTAAATACCTAAAATCTGGGTTATCCAATTTCCTGACACGTGTCAAAAAATCTGCCCTGGGTGAGCTGGCAGAGGTGTAAGGACAGGGCTTTCCCCATATGGCATCTGACCCTGGAGGGTGATAAAGGAAAGGGAAGGATGGACACATCCATGCCAGGAGCAGGGCACAGGGCAGGAGGAGCAGGGATTGCAGAGCTGCAATTTCTCTGGAAGATCAACTGATGGCTAATGTACACTGAAGAGAAAGATTGATTCATAGCCCTGTAGTGCCTGTGCTCCCCCTTGGAATTTGCAAATAAATAATTTTCCTGCTGATTTTTCCTCCCCCTGCAAGTGCCAGATGCCATTTCCTTCCCCCCCTCCCTTTTTTTCCCCTCTCTTGTTCTTTGTTCTCCTTTTACTGCCCCTGCAGAAGCAGATCCTCTGCCAGCTGTAAGGTAAAAACACTGCCAAAAATCCTTAGAAAAAGCCCCAATTCTGCACCCCAAACCCAAACTGGGGGTGGATAAAGCCCCAATTCCACCCCACTGTTATCAGCAAGGCCCAGAGGCTGGAAAGGCAATCCTGGCACGTTCCATTTGGCAGCCTGACTCATCCCAGACAATGGAGTGGGAGGAATCCTGAGGCTGACAGGGTGCCAAGGGCACAGGTGAGCTTTCAAAAGGTGAATTGGAGCTTTTGGGTGAAATCACCAAATAATCAACAGCCCCTCCACCTCAGGGCTACCCAGCAGCCACCACACCAGGGATGTTGAGTGGAGATTAGCAAACATTAAAGCTTTATCTAAATAAACACACAAACAGATAGCTGAGATTATTATCAGCGGGCAGAAGGGAAACACGGAGTCTGAAAGGCAGAAAACATCTCTGCTGACACTGAGCACGTGAAACACCTGCCAGCCACAGGTCTGGAAAGGAAAAGAAATGCAAGGAAAGCTCCCTGAGCCCTGATTCTGTGCCATGCCAGGGCACAGAGGGCACCCACCCCGAGCTGGGCAGGAGGGAAGGGAAATCCCCCAGGCAGGGGCACACAACACTGTGGGGCTGGGCCAGGAGGCACTGCCAGCTCTGGGAATTCAGCTGCAAAGCCCAAATCCCAAAATGCAGCCACACGAGAGCTCCTTTAGCTGCAGGGAGTGAGAGCCAGGGCAGAGGGGCTGGCACAGCAGAGCACATGAAATGCAGGATAAATGACACTGGAGCCCTGCACTGAAGTTCAGGTCATAAAAGGCAGCTGTGCTGCTTTGTTCCAGACCTCCAGAAAATGCTTTACCCTCTGTGGGAAGCTGGGAAAAAAGAAGAATAAATTAGCAGGAGGAATCATTATGGATTTTCAAGAAAAGCCTACAAAAGGAGGTAGTGCTGATGTTTTCCTTCCAGTTTATTTGGCTGCTGAAAATGCAGTGCCTGGCATTCAGCAGAGGGAAGCAGGAGCGTTTGTGGGGTGGTGGCACCCAGGAATCCTGCCCTGTGCCACCAGGGTCACCTGGAGAGGAGACAGCCCCCCCTGCCAGGCACCCACTTGGCTGCCAGCCCCCGGAGTGCCTGGCATAAAGGGCAATTCACATCCCCAGCTAAAATAAACCCTGCCTCTGAAGGAACATGGAGCACTTCAGGACTATTGTCAGGGAACCCACGAGACAGCAGCTGATGTGGCAGGGAGGTGTGGAATTCATCTTGAAACTTCCCCAGCGAGGAAAGTGGGACCAAGCAGAGCCAAAACAAGCAAAATCAGCAATGCAGCTGGAGGGGTTCAGCCAGATCAAAGATGAGGACTGGGAAGACTCAGGAACAAGCAGGAACAAATAAACTTTAATTCTTAACTGATGACAAGCTGCAATGAATACTTCTAATTAACAATTAAGGGTTTAATGCATGCACCCTGCCAAAGGTAGGGGATGTTAAATCACTTTGTGGCCATTGTTTGACACAGGAAAAGGCAAAATTTGGAATAGAAGCTGTGGAAATAAGAGACCCTTCAATTCCTACTGTGAGTGTGGTGGCTTTGGAGATCTGTTGAAAGCAGTTATTTTAAATTATAATAAAGTTCTTTCCACAGATCCTGCAATACTTCTAAAGAGCATAAGTCAATGCAAAAATCAGCGTTCAGAGTGACAGATCATCCACACCTTTCAGTGCTGCCCAAATTTTTAAATTTCTAACTCTGTTCTGTTTTTCTATCACTTCTTACAATCTGCTTCAGTTTGACACATGCAATGAACTCTGCCACCAGAGCTTCCCTGCAGGACAATTCCTCCCCTGGCCCAAACCTGCTCATTTTCCCAGCTCTGCCCCAAACCTGCTCATTTTCCCAGCCCTCACCCACCCCAGTGTCTCAGTGACAGCTCTGCCCTGCTCACATGCCAGGCTGGACAGGAGGCTTAAATTAAGATCAGGCTTAATTTAAAAACCAAACAAAACAAAGAGTTCAGCATCCCAATGGTGCTGTTTGCTCAGCCTGGCTGCTCTGCCCATAAACTCAGGATGCTTCCTCCTGATAACTGCATTTACTGGGTCTGTGTAAGCTGATGGGGACAATTAAGATAAGCTGAATAAATAACTGCAGTAATTACAAGAATTGAGACAACTGTAGTTCTGTGAGAAGTTACCTGTATGTGATCACTGAATTATGGAGTGAAGAGACAAAAAAATAATAAAAAAAGGAGAAAGATCCTAAATCCATGCAGAAGAACTTCCCTCTGCTCAGATTTCCAAAGGGAAAAGCCTTCCCACTATTTCTCCTTTTCTGTGTGACAACACTCTGAGCACACTGATTGTTTCTGTTTTGCAAAACGCCACGTGAAACAAAAGCTAAAAATCCCATTCCTGAACCAAAGCATCCCAGGAGCAGCAAAGGCAGAGCTCAGGGGCTCCAGCAGCTCCTCCTGCTGCACACACTCAGCTCCTGGAGCTCTCTGAGCTTTCCCTGACTTCCCCTCCTTCTCTCACCCCACCTTCCCTGCCAGCCACCTCACAGGCAAAGCATCTGGAGATCCTTTTGAAATCCAGTCATGAGCAATTCCTTATACATTTGAATTATTCTTCACCTTGAATAATCATTTCTACACAAGGGATGCTTTTCTTCACCGTTCCAGGCAGGGTTTTCCCAAACCCTGGAAGTCTAAAGCAAGAAGCACTCTACTCTCACAGATTCACTACAAGTGGGATAAGCAGCACACTGGGACAATTTCATTCCTGTCCCAGCTCCCCAGCAGCTGCTTCCCTCATGCAAAGTTAACATCTGAATTGTATGAGCTCGCTCAGGTTTCCAGGCACCGCATCCATCAACCCCACTGAACTAGAAACAGAAATGGGACAGCAGCACATTTACTACAGCTCTCACAAGCTGCCAGCCCCTCCTGACCCAGACTCCTGCTGGCTGAGAAAGGCACGATTTCTGCACAGCACACAGAGCCTGGCACACTCAGAGAGCTGCCAACACTCCTTACACAGGCTCACAGCAGCCGTGCTGGGACACAAGGCACACCTGGGGAAACACCACAAGGCACACCTGGGAGCACAAAGCACAAGGCACACCTGGGGAAACAACACAAGGCACACCTGGGACACAACACAAGGCACACCTGGGACACAACACAAGGCACACCTGGGGAAACAACACAAGGCACACCTGGGGAAACAACACAAGGCACACCTGGGGAAACAACACAAGGCACACCTGGGGAAACAACACAAGGCACACCTGGGGAAACAACACAAGGCACACCTGGGACACACCACAAAGCACACTGGAAAACACCACAAAGCACACCTGGAAAACACCACAAATCCCAATGCTGGGGATGAGGCACATGCCACGTGCATCTCCCTTCAGCGCTGTTTGTGCCCTCACTGCCAGGGTCAGGGGTGAGCCGGGCACCTGCCGTGCCCCCCGGCACACCGGGCACCGGTAATTCCCAGGCAGCCTCCAGCTCCCGTGGCTCCCACGGCTTCCCCGCAGCCCCAGCAGCAGCACGGCAAACACAACTCTGTGACACCCCGGCCGAGGAGCGGGGCCAGCAGCCGCTGCGAGCCCGAGCCTGGCAGTGCCCAGCCGGGAAACCCTCCCCGGGCAGACAGGCCAGGCTCGGAGCTCCGGCGGTGCCCAGCTGAGAGACCCCGCCGGGACACACTGCCCAGGCCGGGCTCGGAGCTCACAGTGCCCAGCTGTGACACCCCACCGGGAAACGCTCCCCTGACGAAGCTCGGAGCTCCGGCGGTGCCCAGCTGAGAGACCCCGCTGGTAAACCGTGCCCAGGCCGGGCTCGGAGCTCACAGTGCCCAGCTGTGAGACCCCGCTGGTAAACCCTCCCCAGGCCAGGCTCGGAGCTCCGGGACCCCGCCGGGGTGACCCACGGCGAAGGCCGCCGCGCTGTGCGCGCCCCCCGGGGCCGGCCCCGGCCGCTCCGTGGCGGCGGNCCTGAGGGGCGCCGGGGCGCCATGACGGTGACAGGGCCGGGGGGCCCGTGGCCGCCAACCGCCCGCTCCCGGCGCCGCGGCGGCCGCTCGGTACCTGCCGTAGATGCCCTCGGTGATGCGGTTCCGCTTGAGCGGCCGCCGCAGTTTGCTGCAGTCCGCGCTCCGCCGCTTCATCCCGCCGGCCCGGCCCGGCCCGGCCCGCCCCGCTCACGGCAGCACCATCCGCCCCCGCGGGGGGTTCCCGAGCGCGGGGGTTTTTTTGGGGGGTTTATGTTGGTTTTTTTCCCTTTTTTTTTCTTTTTTTTTTCCCCGGGAAACAAAGAAATAAAAATAATTCCTGGTCCGTCCCTCCCCGCCGTGTCCCCCCGCGCAGCCGCCGCGCAGCGCCCCGCCTCCCCGGCGATCACCAATCAAATGGTTGAGGCCACCTGAGTGACAGCATGTTCTACCAATCGGCAGTGGACAAAGGCAGATAGACGGTAGAGTGGACCAATCGCAGTGCGAGAAAGTTGAGCCCACCTCGTGCCGTCGCGTGGCGCGCCCAGCACCGTGAATGACGGCCCTGCAACCCAATCAGAGATGATGATTTGTGATTGATGGACTGTCAACCAATCAGAATGCAGACTTTGGTCTCCTCCCGCCTACTGTGCTACGGGCTGGTTCCTGCCCCTTGCGGTGACCGACAGCAAAATTCCCCAATGGAGGAGAAACAGAAAAATAAAAGGACAGCTCAGCCATCCACTCGGAAACGGAAGAAGGAGGGCTCTATTTCCTCTGTCACCGTAGCACCGAGGTGCCACCTCCCCCGCTTGATTGACAGCCTCGCTGGCGAATGGGCAGCTGGGGAAGGGGACAGCGCTGGGGCTCAGGTGCAGAGTCAGGCAGTGACAGTTTGTGACGCCCGGCGCCGCCCGCACAGCGCGGCCTGCGCCGCCTCCCGCCGGAGAGCAAAATAACCCCCGGCCTGACCGACAGGCCGCGCCAGCCAATGAGGAGCGCGCGTAGCTGAGTGACAAGCAACCGGGCCAATCGTAGCGCAGGACGCGCGGCCCGAAGACGGCCGGTGCTGGGGATAAGCCAATCAGAAGGCAGGAGGAGCTGCGCTCGGCCAATGGGAGGGCAGTCCCTAAGGGCGGCCTGTGGGGAGGGGGCGGGCATTCAGCGAGGGGCGGGGCCCGCCGGGTCTGTGGGAGCCGTGAGGGCGGCAATGGCGGCGCCGCTCCTGAGGGCGGCCGCAGCTCCGGCTGGGGGCACGGTGGCGGTGCCCGTGCCCGCGACCCGGGCTGTGCCCACGGGCCTGCCGGGGCGATAGATCGCCCAGAGCGAGGGTCTGGCAGTGCTGGGCTGAGGCGCGGGGTGCTTTCCCGGTGTTGGAGTTACAGTTTAGAATTGGAGCGTCACGGATTTGTTTGGGCTAAAGAGTCCTTGAAGATCACCTCATTCCATCCCCTGCCGTGGCATGGACACCTTGGGCACTGCCAGGGATCCAGGGTAGCCACAGCTGCTCTGGGCCCCTGTGCCAGGCTGGACACTGGGGCTGGGAGCAGCCTGGGGCAGTGGAAGGTGTCCCTGCCATGGCAGGGGTGGCGCTGGGTGGCTTCAAGGTCCCTTCCCACCCAAACCAGCCCATGGTTTGTGCTGTGGATCCATAAAGTGTCCCTGGAGCTGTTCCCGTGGCCCTGTGTGAACAACAGGCTGATCCCACAGCAGCAGAGGAGCTGCTGCACCCCCAGAGACCCCCGATTCCCTGCCTTGGGTTGGATCTGTGCGTGTCTGCAGAGCTGTGGGGTCACGCTGGGGCTCTCAGCAGGACCCTCCCCGCCTTTCTGTGCTGAGTGAATGGATCATGGTGCTGTTTATGGATTCATGTTCTCCCTGCCCTCTGGCTGAGCTGCCAGGCCCCCAGCAGCTGGAGTGCCCTGGGGAGCAGGGCAGGGCTGGCCGTGGCTCTGGCCCTGGCCCTGGCCATGGTTCTGGCTGTGGCCATGGTTGTAGCCGTGGCTCTGGCCGTGTTTCTGACCGTGGTTCTGGCTGTGTTTCTGGCCCTGGCCATGGTTGTGGCCATGTCTCTGGCCGTGTCTCTGGCCATGGCTCTGCCCGTGGTTCTAGCTCTGGCTGTGTCTCTGGCTGTGTTTCTGGCCATGTCTCTGGCCGTGGCTCTGGCTGTGTTTCTGGCCCTGGCTGTGTCTCTGGCCATGTTTCTGGCCGTGTTTCTAGCCATGGCCATGGCTCTGGCTGTGTTTCTGGCCATGTCTCTGGCCGTGGTTCTGGCCATGGCCATGGCTCTGTCTGTGTTTCTGTCTGTGTTTCTGGCCATGGCTCTGCCCGTGGTTCTAGCTCTGGCTGTGTCTCTGGCTGTGTTTCTGGCCATGTCTCTGGCTGTGTCTCTGGCTGCGTTTCTGGCCATGGCCATGGCTCTATCTGTGTTTCTGGCCCTGGCCGTGTTTCTGGCCATGGCCATGGCTCTGGCCATGTTTCTGGCTGTGGTTCTAGCTCTGGCTCAGTCTGTGGCTGGGCAGGGTCTGGGCTCCTGCCCCAGCCCAGATAAGGAGCTGCTCCCTGCTCCCGCCTCTTCCCTTTTATCTCTGGCTGTGCTCCCCCTGCAGCTCTGCTGTGCTGTGGGGGCACGGGCACAGCTCCCGGGGCACAGCAGTCCCTGCTGCTGCCAGGGCACAGCAGTCCCTGCTGCTCCCAGGGCACAGCAGTCCCTGCTGCTGCCAGGGCACAGCAGTCCCTGCTGCTCCCGGGGCACAGCAGTCCCTGCTCCTCCCGGGGCACAGCAGTCCCTGCTGCTCCTCCCGGGGCACAGCAGTCCCTGCTGCTGCCAGGGCACAGCAGTCCCTGCTGCTCCCGGGGCACAGCAGTCCCTGCTCCTCCCGGGGCACAGCAGTCCCTGCTGCTCCATGCTCCTGCACGATGCCCTCCCGCCACCGGAGCTTCCGCTGCAGCGTGCCCTGGCTCGTGCTGCTGCTGCAGGCCCTGCTCCTGCTGCGCTCCTTGCTGGGCTTCCCGAGGGTCAGTGACACCTACTCCTCATTCAGCTCCTCCTACCCGGGTAAGCCTGGCACCTGCTGGGGGACATGGGGGGGTCCCTGCTGCTCCTGTGCCCCGGGACTCTGGTGGGGAGGAGCAGAATGGTTTTATTGCTTTTGAACCTGCCAGGAGTGCTGGGGGTTTCTTTGTGTCACAGGTGTGATGGGGATACAAGGCTAAATTGGGGTTTTGGTCGGTTTTCTGTTGGGTTTTTTGGCCTCTCAAGCCTCACGTTGTGGCATCCATTCAGATCAGTGTGTCAAAATAAATTCAGCATTAAGGGTGTTTTTTCTCTGATTATAGATCGGAAAGAAAGCTCTGGAATTCTTTGCAAGCTCTGAACAATAGCGGCACTTAATTTTTTATCTGAAGGCTTCTTAGTTAATTGTAATTTTTAATTGATTTTTTTAAAACCAGAAATCTACATTAATAATTTCACTGCTGTCTTGTTCTTTTCTGTCCTGCAGTATTTCAAGATGTCACGCACATGGTGATTTTTGGGTTTGGCTTCTTCCTGATGGTTCTGAGAAGATATGGCTTCAGCAGCACTGGGTTCAACTTCTTGCTCGTTGTTCTTGGTGTCCAGTGCTCCGTGCTGGCAGAAGATTTATTAGTTTTCCTTAAGGGAGAGCAAAATGAAGTTGGTATGGAAAGGTAATGAGTTCATGTTGGAGCTGGGCTAGTGCAGAACTGCTGGTTGCTCCCTGTGCAGTGAATGTCTCCTCGTGGGGCCCTGCTGGGGATGGGCAGGGCACATTTGCAGGCATTTCAGAGGGCTTTTAAGGGTTTTTCAGTGCATTGTTGTGTTCCATTCCTTTTTATTGGCCCTGGTGTCACCCTGAGTTGTTCTTTCCTTTCTTTCTTGCAGTCTAACAAAGGCTGTGATGAGCACGACTGCTGTGGTCATCTCCACTGGGGCTGTCCTGGGCAAGGCCAATCCTGTGCAGCTAATTGTGATGACCCTGGTGGAATTAATCTTTTTCTACGTGAGCAGATGCATCAACGGGACATTCCTGGAGGTACCCTGGTGGGATTTGCAGCTCTGTGGGGGGAAATGTCACTGGAGCAGCAGCAGCAGTGGCTTTGTGTGGCCTGGCTCAGGCCACAGATGGTGAATATTGTGTTGCTGCAGGTCCCAGACTACCTCACCATGATGCACGTGTACCTCTTTGGAGCCTACTTTGGCCTGGCACTCGCCTCGCGCTTCCCTGAGCCTCCCCCAGGGCTGGACAAGAACAGGAGCACCCCAAAGTCAGAGCTGTTCTCAGTGCTGGGTGAGTCCAGGCTGGAGTGCCCCCGCTGGATGGGGAATTGCAGGGGGAACATGGGGAGGGTTGGGGGTTTAAATGCAAAATGGAACTCTGGATGCAGCCGAGCACAAGAACTGCTGCTGTTTGTGGCAGTGCCCCCTTTCCTCCTGGCCCAGAGGCCACTCCTGCCACAGCTGGGGCTCAGTTTGCTTTGCCACCTCAGCACAAGGGCTACTCCAGGCTACCAGTCCTTTCTCCAGGCTCACCACTGCCTTTCCTGGCCATGCTGTCCCCTTGGCTGGCTGGTGAGGGGCTGTGTGCCAGAGCTGAGCTCATAGCTTGTGTTTCAGCAGAGCTCAGCCTGCTGGCCCAGGTGGTGCACAGAGATAGAAAAGGGCAGTCCCTGCTGGTAAGAGAAATAAAAAGATAAAGCCTGTGGAGGGTGGGGAGTGTGATACAGGCAGGCCCACGAGAGGGGAGCTGGGGAGGGGCAGCCTCACTGCCTGGGACTTTCATTCCTTTTCTTAGGGAAGCAATTTGGTGTCTTTATTATCACAATTTCTATAGTGCAGCTGCCACAGGCTGAGCCCAGAGCTTCCTGCAGGGGTCCACAGAGTCTCATTCTCAGTCAGTCTTTGCCCAGTGCAGGGAATACAACATTTAAATGCTGCTCTTTTGTGTCCCTGGAGTTCTTGTTTGCTGTTTATTTCCAGAGCTGAGCACATACTCATAAGAAAGCTTCAGGAGATTTTATATCTGTGGATATAAAAGGACTTTAGGACTGACTAACTGCCTGATCAAGGGGAACAGGATGAATTATCTCACAAGTCCTCAGTGCCACCATAAGTTTAGAGTTGCTGAGATGGCCTCTCCTGTCTGAGGCAGGGTTATGTCAGCCTTGGTGCATGGAAATCATGGATATTAGCAATGCAAACTGGGTTTCACAGAGCCAAGCTGGTACAAAATCAGTGCCTGCCAGGGCTGCTGGGAGCTGGGTTTGTGCCTCATAGTGACAATGCCTGTGTCACTTGTTAGGGGTCTTGGACAAGAGAACATCAGATGTCACTCAGGTGGATTGCACAGGGTCTGGTACCTCTGGGGGTGGGGAACACATCATCAGCGATGGGAGCAGGCTGGAGACAAAACACAGCTGGGAATGCCAGAGGAGCTGCTGCCTTGTGTTGGTGCTGGAGTCTGTGCACAGCCCGGGGCCACAGGGACCAGCCTGAGCTGCTCTGAGGCCACCGAGGTCCCTCTGTCCCTCTGTCCCTCTGTCCCTCTGTCCCTCTGTCCCTCTGCCGGCTGGAATTCGGTGTGTGCAGTGCTGCCCCAGGCAGGTGAGGAGGAATGCATCCTGCCAGGCAGGGCACTGCTCCAGGGAGGCTGAGCTTCCCAAAGCTGACCAAGAGAGGCAGAAGAACCTGTTTGCATTCCTGTTAGAGAAGCCTGTGCGCTCCTGGGGCTGTGACACTGACAGCTCCTCACTGCTGCCAGCTCCTCCTGGAGCAGGCTCTGCCGTGGGAAGGCTTTGGGAATCACAGTGGATGCACCCTGGGGGCTGCAGCCCCCCAGAGACAGGCAGGGATGGCTTCCCCGTGGCTCAGAGCAGCTCCTGAGGGTCTCTTTCCTTGTCCCCAAGGCACTGTGTTTGTCTGGGTGTTCTGGCCGAGCTTCAATTCCATCCTGGCTGACTCCAAGGAGAAGGCAGTGCTCAACACTTACTTGGCCCTCGCAGTGAGTGCTGTGGCTGCCTTCATGTTGTCTGCCCTGACCTCCAAGGATGGCAAATTCAGAATGGTAAGGACGTGGGGGAAGCCTGCATGGGGTTTTTCTGTTCAAAGAGATTTTCAGGAATACACTGGAACCGAAACCTTGTCCAGGGTCTGACAGTCACAGACTCACAGAGGGGTTTGGATGGGAGGGGGCATCAAAGATCACCTCATCCCACCCCCTGCCGTGGCAGGGACACCTCCCATTATCCCAGGCTGCTCCAAGCCCCAGTGTCCAGCCTGGCCTTGGGCACTGCCTGGGATCCAGGGGCAGCCACAGCTGCTCTGGGCACCTGTGCCAGGGCCTGCCCACCCTCACAAGCAACAATTCCTTCCCGATATTGAATCTGCACCTTCCCTCTTTCAGTTTAAAGCTGCTGCCCCTTGTCCCATCCCTGCAAGCCCTGTCAGGAGCCCCTGGTGTGTTTTGCAGGCCCACATCCGCAGTGCAGTCCTGGCTGGAGGGGTGGCTGTCAGTTACTCAGCACAGGGCATCCACCACCCTTGGATTGCCATGATCCTGGGGCTGCTGGCCAGTGTCATCACCATCCTGGGAGCTCACTGTGTGCAGGTAATGCTCAATCCCCTACATGCTTCTTGGATAAGCTGTGTACATTTTTTTCCCAGTGCAGCATACCCCAAGGGAAACCTCTTTTCCAACCTGGGAAAGCTGAGGTGTTTTGAGCAGAGTGCAGGATTGCAGCTCGTGAGAGCAAATTGATCCTCTAGGTCTGCAACAGCTGATCTGCAATTACCAACTTGTGTTTCTGGGTGTCAGTTAAACCTTTTCTTCTTCCCAGAGGTGCTTGAATCCTGCTTTGAAGCTTCAGGATACTTCTGGAGTTCATTTCACTTTTGGTTTGCCTGCTGTGCTTGGAGCTGTGGCCACTGTTGTTCTCCGTGTTGTAGAAGATGGGATTGAGACACGATGGAATGAATTATCCAGGTACATAAATTCTTATATTCAATAATGCAGATAAAGAATCATCACTGCAGTGTGCCCTGAGAAGAGCTGTCAGACATCCAGAGAGCCTGAATGTCACCACATTGTTTTCTATCAGGTAACCCAAGATAACCCTGAAGTCCAACAAAAAAAAAGTCAGTAAAAATGAATTTGGGAGTTGAGCAGACTTTGGGTCCTGTTCTCTGTCTCCCTTTTTGTTTTTGTTAAATACAACAGGTACAGGAGATGAAGGCTGGGCATGTGCCTCCCTCCAAAACTCACCTTAGGGTTTGGGATGTTTTGGGGAGCTCAGGAGGGAGGGAGGAATGAGAGTGCAGCATGAGGGCCTGACACTGCTCATCGTGTTCTTAGTGAAACCAATTTAATGAAGTTTTAATACCAAAAAATTGGACAAAATAAATCTTCTGAAGTCTGCATTTAGGTATGTTCCTGAAACACCTCACTGCAGCTGCAGATTTGAGAATTGCAGCTTCTCTGAGAGGTTTTGATAGCTGCAGATTCATTCACAGTGGTCATGCTGAACAAAAGGTGAAACACTTTTTTTGCTTTTCAGTCTGGGTTACACTGCCTTTTTTAATATTGGTGCCTTCTGCCAGACCATCAGCACTGCCTTGATAACAGGATTGATTACAGGTCAGTACTGAGACATCCCAGGAATGCCTTTATTTCCTTGGAGCAAGTTTCTATGGCTAAATCACTTGTGGGAGAAATGGAAATGTGAGTGCCAGGGACTCTTCCCAGCCAGAGCTGTTTTGCACAGAAATAACCCAGCAGCACCATTCTTTCAGTGCTGAAGTTTTATTGTAACCAAGCTTTTACAGCTGCAGACAGGACAGGTATGAAGATGAAAATACTTCCACTTTTGGGTGTTGTCTTATTGACAGAAGATGCCCCAGTCTGGGGCTTGTCACTTTTTAGGCCATTTGGAGCAAATGTGCAAAGTTTCAATAGCATCAGGAGCTGCCTCAGCCCAGCTGCAGCCCTTTGATCAAGAGATTTGGGGATTTTTGGGACTTTTTGCTGCTTTGGCAGCAGCCCTCACGTGGCTGCCACGGAATGCTCTGGTTTGTGGCAGCTGCTGCTTTTCCCCAGCCCCTGATTCTGTCTGGAGCAACAGAGAAATGGCCACTGAAAATGGCTGGGAAACACAGCCTACAAGGATTTTGGGAGTGTTTTAATTTATTTAAAATTTTCACTACTTGAAGGGTAATGAAGAAGGAATAGATCTTTAGGAAACATCCAGCTGAAATAACCAAACATTCAGTGTTTAACCAACTGTTCAAAAATCCAGAGATTCCCATCAGAGATCCCAAACTGCCAGTGCTGATAAGCCAGCTTGGTTTTAATAAACAAGCACTTCTCGTGCAAGAAACTCATCATTTTGATGTATTTTCATAACCTAGCAGCTGTTTAATGGGGTTTTACCTAAAGTAATTCATTTTTAGTACCCCAAGCCTTGATCCTGGCAAGCCTCTTTTTGTATTTAAGGCCAGCTCGAGTCAGGGGGGCTCTGCTGCAGGATTTAGGTCTGAATTTGTGTTTTGATCTGTTACATTTGGATAAATGTTGCCAAGAAACTCCTGTTGCACACAATCCTCCCCTTGCCCTGGTGTTTTATGTTTATTTTGGATCTCTCTTTTAACCCACAGGTTTGATCTTAAACATCAAACTGCTGAAAGCAGTGCACGTCTCCAAGTACTTTGATGACCAGTTTTACTGGGAGGTGGGTTTCAAAATGATTTCAGATTCCCTGGGGGGGAGTTCATTTAGCACCTTGATGAAGAATTCCAGGTATTTGAATTAAAAATATGAGGGAAAAAAGGTTTATTCCTTTTCCCAGCACATTCTGATGCACAAACAGTCCTTGGGCACCCTTAGGTGCTGATGTGAGGCTGTATCTGAATTACAGGAATAACAAAGGGGTGGAAATAAGCTTTTAATCAGCTTTTCCCTTGGTCTGGAGTTTTTTCCTGTGATGATTTGATATGTTCTGATACAGGAATGTTTGTGTTCACAGTTTCCCCACTTGTCTGTTGGATTTTGAGTGGAGGATCCCAGCTGACAGCCAGGACCAAGCTAAGATTTTCCTCTTTATCACCAGAAAAACTGAACAGCTGTGATGGGTTCAGAGAGCACTGAAATATCAATTCTCAGGCCCACAAAAGTCACCCCAATGGACACTCCAAAACCAAACTGTTCCAGTTCTTCTTGAAAGATACAGAGTGTGAATCCACAGGTGCAAACTTCAGGTGCATTCAGCTTTTCTGCTTTGTTGGCCTTACCTTAAATATATTTTAGAAGATATGTACAAAAAAGTTGTCTGCATTCATGGCTTATCAATCCAAATGCTTGGAAACATTAAACTATTTTTAGCTCCTGAGTTTACAAGGCAAAATGATGGATTTGAAAGTGTCATTTCTCAAGGAGCCCTTCTTATCTAGCAAAGCACTCAGGTTTTTAAGCTGAGTTGGTTCTGCTGAAGGCCTTGACAAGGCAGGATTTGAGTGAGCTGGAGCAGGGCCAGAACTCTGCATCCTGCCAGCCTGAACTCCTGGAAAAATCTGCAGGTTGGGAGGTTCTGCTGGCCAAAGTTCAGCTGGGGGTGGTGTTCCTAAGCCCTGGGGTTTGCTGCCAGTGGAAAACACAGCCAGAGCTCAGGGCACAGCACGGGGATGGGCCAGCACCCCGTCCTGGCAGGGACACAGGATTTGGGGACACAGGATTTGGGGACAAGGGTTCCCTGCCAGTGAACCCTGCATTCTGAATGGATTGTGACCCTCAGCATTTCTTCCTTTCAAAGAGAGTTGACACAGAGAAATCTGTGAGCAGTGCTTACCTAGAAAAGGAGTGCAAATGTGGCTGTTTTCCCTCCCTTCAGCACCCTGGGAGCAGTGAGGGAGCTGGTGCCAGGCTGAGCCCTGTGCTGAGGCTCCCTGGCCTCATTCCCTCTCTGCTGAGCACATCCCCACACTCAGAGGGAGGCAGCTCCCAGGGGATGCAGCTGGCACAGGCAGGGCCAGCTCTCCTTGTTCCCAGCTCCCACAGAGCCAGCAGGAGCTCAGCAGCTGCCCAAAGCTTCCACCCACACCTGGGAGCTGCTACTTCCCAAACACTTCCTCTTTATCACCACAGGGTAAAGGAAATATTCAGGGATGGGGGGGAAAGGAAAAATCCCAAAGCACCACAGTTCTGAATGACACAAGAAAAGCCACACACACACACAAAACCAGCAAGGTTTGAAATTGCAGAAATGGTTATATTGCCCAGATACAGGAAATAGTCAATAAATATCTGTTAAAAGGTTGTTTAAATGCAGTTTTAGTAAGTATTGGATTGTAAATAACATCCTAGAAAGAGCTGGTTAAATACATCCATATTCCACTCTCCTTTTATTTGTAACAAACATCATTTTAGAAAAGTGACTCCACTGTTGTTTGTAGCAGTTTTACATTTCTCAAAAACACCACAACGCTGAAGTGGACGTACAAGAGTAAAAAAAATAAGCAGAAAAGAGCTGGATTTAGTGCTTTCAGCTTTCCTTGATTTCTCTTCAGACACAATGGAAGGTTTACAAAATGCTTTTACAAAAATTTGGGGGTGCACTTAAAGCCCAGGGGGGTTCACTGCCACAAATCCTCCGTGCGACCAAACTTGAACACCAGGCCCCTGTGGGAACACAGCAAAGGGACAGCACAAATCAAATTCCTTTTGTTTTAAACACAAGATTTCAAGGGGTGTTTGTCAGTCCAGTTCCTGTGCAGGCAGATCCCAGTTTATTCACACAGGTCTGCTTACAAAACAGGGCTTCAGGACTAACCAGAGCACAGCAGCTTTGAGTTTTTCATTGAAATTAAATGGTACACAAATAAAAGAGGTCACTCTTACCCAAAAAAGATGAATGCATTCTGGAAAAACACTGCTATTCCTGGGTACACCACTGGTTTTTCTAAGAGATAAAAAAATCCCCATAAATTTTTTAAAGTAATTTTCAAGCATATCCCATTTCTGCCATGTCATTTCCCTTGTGCTAATTTAGCAGAGAGGCTTTGGGAGCAATCTGCAGGAGCTCAGGAATTTGTATTCTGGGAATAAGTGTTCACCCAGGGAATCATTCCCTTAAAACTGCAGCAGTTTAATTATATCCATGGAGTTCCCAGCTGGGTTTTTAGAGGAAGTTTGCACTTAAATAGATCAAATCCACGCCAATATCAGTAATAAAATGGGAGAGTGGAGTGTAGGGCAAAATACTCAAACTGGGCCTGCCTAAAAACCCTCTGAACACCAATTCTAAAATCCAGAAATCACTGAAAACACCTTAAACTTCCAAAAACAGGGACAGCTCTTACCTTTAACCACATAACCCCCAAAGAGGATCCACATGGAGGCAATGAGGGACCCAAAAGCCATCATGAAACCGAGGAAGAGCCAGATCCGAGCTCCTGCAAAGGGATGGGATGTGCTGTACCCCAAAATGGGATGTGCTGTGCCCCAAAACAGGGATGTGCTGTACCCCAAAATGGGATGTCCTGAACCCCCAAACAGGGATGTGCTGTACCCCCAAACAGGGATGTGCTGTACCCCCAAGCAGGGATGTGCTGTACCCCAAAATGGGACTGTCCTGAACCCCCAAACAGGGATGTCCTGAACCCCCAAACAGGGATGTGCTGTACCCCAAACAGGGACTGTCCTGAACTCCCAAATGGGATGTGCTGTACCCCAAACAGGGACTGTCCTGAACCCCCAAACAGGGATGTGCTGTACCCCAAAATGGGATGTGCTGAACCCCCCAAACAGGGATGTCCTGTCCCCCCAAACAGGGATGTCCTGTCCCCCCAAACAGGGATGTCCTGTCCCCCCAAACAGGGATGTCCTGTCCCCCCAAACAGGGATGTGCTGTACCCCAAACAGGGATGTCCTGTCCCCCCAAACAGGGATGTGCTGTACCCCAAACAGGGGATGTTTTGTCCCCCCAAACAGGGACCCCAGCCCCACAAAGCCCTGGCACAGCTGGCCCCTGTCTGTTGTATTTTCTGACGCCCCCCATGGTTGGAAGGAATGATGAATGTGGCTCTCTGTTCTTAAAAAGCTAATTTTTGGTTTGGAATCTGGGTTATACTCAAAAATGCTATGCTAAAACTGTACTAAAAAACACAAGCAAAAAGCTGAAAGGTGCTAACAAAAACTCAAACCTTGCAAAGTCTGACACAGCTCAGCCAACAAATAAAACCAATTTCCACGAAACCAATTAAACAACCTCCAACCCACCCAAACACGTGAAGAACAAACCAGACAATTCTTATTTTCATTTTTCCCTGAGCATTCTCAGCTTCCCAGAAAACCCCGTGGGCAACCCCAAATTTTGAGATGTGCAGGACAGGTACCTGTCTGGCCCAGGCAGCCCTCGCTGTAGCTGTCCCCCCTCACCTGCCCGTTGGACACGGCGTTGATCCTGCCCAGGAGGGACAAAAGGGACAAAAGGGACATGAAAATGGCATTTTGGTGCTCCCTGCTGCTGGGAACAGGGCACATCTTGTGCTTCCTGGCATGTATTTACTGTTCATTTGTAGGACTGGATTGATCTGTTTAGGTAGTGTGGGAAATGTTAATAAATTTGAATGAATTTAATAAATAAATTAGATAATGAGATAAATAAATAATAAAATATAAACGATGAATTAAATAAAGAATAAATTTAAATAAATGCAATGAATAATTTAAATAAGAAAATAAATAAATACAATTAATAAAAAGAAATCAATGAAATATAAATAAATATAGCAAAAAGAGCAAAATAAATAAAAATAAATAAAAAATAAATAAAGAAAATTAATATAAATAAATAAATGAGATGTAAATAAATATAAAATAGCAAAAAATATAAATAAATATAAATAAAGAATAAAGAAAATTAATATAAGTAAATAAATAAATGAAATATAAATAAATATAGCAAAAATAGCAAAATAAATATAAATAAATAAAAATGAATAAAGGAAATTAATATAAATAAATAAAATGTAGCAAAAATAGCAAAATAAAAATAAATTAAAAATAAATAAATAAAGATAATTAATAAAATTAATTAAATAAATAAAATGTAAATAAATACAGCAAAAATAGCAAAATAAATATAAATAAATAAAAAATGAATAAAGAAAATGCATATAAATAAATAAAGCAAAAATAGCAAAATAAATATAAATAAATAAAAAATGAATAAAGAAAATGCAAATAAATAAATATAGCAAAAATAGCAAAATAAATATAAATTTAAAATAAAGAAAATTAATTAAAATAAATAAACAAAATATAAATAAACATTGCAAAAATAGCAAAATAAATAAAAACAAATAAAGAAAATTAATAATAACTTTATTGTCCTAACCCCGATTGTCCAAATTCTTATTACTCCAATTTCATTACTATTTTATAACCATTTTATTAACGTTAAACTTTTAAACCGCTCGGATTCCCCACTCACATGAGGAAGGCGATGGTGGCGATCACCCCGCAGGCGTGGTACGAGTGGTTGAAATCTTCCACCTGAGGGTATTTCACTGCAGCATCGATGATGATCCACCAGCCCGTGAAAAACTGGGGGAAAAAGAGCTTCAAATGCAGAAAAAGCTAAAAATGCAGAGCTTGAAAAACAGGCACGGCCGGGGCTCCGAGTGAGAATTGATGTTTTTACATCAATATTTAAACAGCCCCAGCCCGACTGAACTGTGACAACATCACTTTGGCATCGCTGGCTGCAAAGGGTTTTTGCACCCCAGCGTCACTGCAGCATCGATGATGATCCACCAGCCCGTGAAAAACTGGGGGAAAAAGAGCTTCAAATGCAGAAAAAGCTAAAAATGCAGAGCTTGAAAAACAGGCACGGCCGGGGCTCCGAGTGAGAATTGATGATTTTACATCAATATTTAATCAGCCCCAGACTGAACTGTGACAACATCACTTTGGCTGCAAAGGGTTTTTGCACCCCAGCAGTTCCTCCCCGTGAAAAATGTGAAAATCGGTGAAATTGGAAAAAAGGAGGGAGGCAGCCAGGCCAGCTTGTGAGTCACTGTGCTCACAGGGACAGCGCATCCCTGCTCCTCCTGCCCTGGAACTGCCCCTGAAACAGCCCCAACCACCCCCAAACCGCGTCCCCAGCGCCACATCCACGCAGTTTTAAACACTTTAAAAAAAATTTAAAACATTTTTTAAACATTCCCAGGGACTCCAGCACTGCCTGACCACCTTTTCATGGAGAAATTCCCTTTTATCCAGGCTGAACGCGAGGCCTTTCCTCTCATCCTCGCACCCAAGGCTCCCAAACCTTTCCCGCAAACAGGGAAGGACAGAAAACCCCAAAGGAAACCCCAAAGAAAACCCCAAAGAACCCCAGCCCGAGTCCCGGGCGGGCCGTACCAGCACGCCCGCGGCCACCGAGGCGATGGCGTTGCGCTTCTCGGCCCAGTCCACGCACTCGGAGCAGCGCAGGCTCTCCAGGAAGCCGGACATGCTGCGGGGGCTGCGGGAGGGAGCGAGCGAGCGGCGGCTCGGGGAGCGCCCGAGCCCCGGGACACACCGCGCTGCCCGGGCACGGAACCCCCGGGCACGGAATGCCGGGCACGGAATCCCCGGGCACTGAATCCCCCAGTCACTGCATCCCCCGCACCCCGGTCACGGAATCTCCGCACATCCCGGTCACTGAATCCTCCGGTCACTGCATTCCCGCACCCCGGTCACTGAATCCCGCACATCCCAGTCATGGAATCCCCCGGTCACGGAATCCCCCGGTCACGGAATCTCCGCACATCCTGGTCATGGAATCCCCCAGTCACTGCATTCCCGCACCCCGGTCATTGAATCCCGCACATCCCAGTCATGGAATCCCCGCACACCCCGGTCACTGCATCCCCCGCACCCTGGTCATGGAATCCCCCGGTCACTCAATCCCCGCACATCCCGGTCACTGCATCTCCGCACACCCCGGTCACGGAATCCCCCAGTCACTGCATTCCCGCAGCCCGGTCACTGAATCCCGCACATCCCAGTCATGGAATCCCCCGGTCACTGAATCCCCGCACATCCTGGTCATGGAATCCTCGCACATCCCGGTCACTGAACCCCGCACACCCCGGTCATGGAATCCCCGCACCCCGGTCACTGCATCCCGCGCACCCCCCGCGGCCCGGTTCCTGCACCCCGCGCGGCCCGAGCGCCGGGGCGGGGCCGCCGTTCGTTGGGGGGAGGCGGGGCCGGCGCGTGCGCGGGTTGCGTAACGGGAGGGACGTTCTGGAAGGTTCGGCGGCCGCCCTCAGTCGCGGGCGGGCGGCGGCAGCGGGTGGAGGCGGCTCTCGGCTGCGGTTCTCTCGCTCTGCTATCGCGCTTCTGTCGCCGATCGCGGCTGGCGCGGCGCGCCCGGCGCTATGGGGGTGACTCACGAAGCGGGGCTCTCCCCTCAGGACCCGTGCGGCGGCAGCCCGGCGGGCTGGAGCCGGTGAGGCGGCGGGCCGGGGAGGGGAGAGGCGGGGGAGGCCGAGCGCGGTGGGCGCTGCGGAGCGGGGGCTGTGGGTCGCTCACGGATGGGTTTTTATTTGTTTTATTGCAGGAGCGCGCAGGTGCCTCAGGGGAACCAGCGCGGGGCGTGCCCGGCAGCGCCCAGCGGTGAGTGAGGGACCGGCCGTGAGGGACCGTGAGGGGCCGTGAGGGCTCGGGGCTCCGGGACCGGCCGTGAGGGGCCGTGAGGGCTCGGGGCTCCGGGACCGGCCGTGAGGGACCGTGAGGGGCCGTGAGGGCTCGGGGCTCTGGGACCGACCGTGAGGGCTCGGGGCTCCGGGGCCGGGCGTGAGGGGCCGTCAGGGATCGGGGCTCCGGGACCGGCCGTGAGGGACCGGGGCTCCGGACCGGCCCTGCGCCCCCATGGACGGGCCGGGAGGGGTTTGGCGATGGCAGGCGGCACTTGGGCATTTCTCTTATTACAGCCCCGGCAGTGTGACCTTGGCTCTGGCGTAGAGGTGAAGTAGTGAAACTTTACCTGGAGTAGTAGCGAGAGAAGCGTGTCTGACAGTTCTCCCACAACTTAGATTTCAAGCAGATTTCAGTGCGGGGGTTGGGTTTGTTGCTGAACCTCGCTTTGCGCGGAGCGCTAAGTGGAAATTCCGTGTCAGGGCAAGCTTCCCTAAACTGTAAACTGGTTACGTAACTCTGGGCTTAAGTCTTGTGATAAGATCCTTACCCCGAGTAACCTTTGTAGCCATAAAATGGCTGCCACTCCAGGGACAGCCATTTTAATTATTAATATAAGAATTACTGCATCCTGTGCGAGCCACGGCCCCTGAATCATCACCCGGCTTTTGTTAAAAACACAGAGCGCTTTTAACAGCAGCTTGTTGCTTGCCCTGCTGGGGTGTGTGGGGCTGTGTGCCACGAGTTTTGTGACGAGATAAAGGCAAGATCTTAGCTGCGTTATACTTAGAAGAGACTTTTATTTCCCTTTGTTGGAGTAAAAACCTGTGTGGAATTGTAGCAGAAAACTCTTTGTACTGAGCTGCCGGCAGATTGTTATTTTGTATCGTAGAGACAATGGGCTGTGTTTAGGATCGATGGATGACAAAATATCTTGAAAATTCTTTTGAGGAAGATCAGGATTTTCCTCCTTTTTGGAGGAAAAAAGGTACTGCAAAAGGAATTACACTTAAAACCCATGCAGACTTACATCTCTCCAGAATTCCACACAGAACCGCTCATGGTTTAAACTGAAGCCTTTCATTTTTCACACAACTTTGTGCTTCAGTGTTGTGGCTGAGTGCAGGAGAGGGAGCTGCAGAGCTGAGCTGCCTCTGGAAGGTGGCTGGGCGTTGTTGGGGTGTTTAATTCCTCGTGTTTCAGATTTGTGGCTAAGGGCAGGAGGGAATTGCAGAGCTGAGCTGCCTCTGGAAGGTGTCTGAGCATTTTTGGGGTATTTAATTGTGTTTCAGTTTTTTGGCTGAGTGCAGGGCAGGGAGCTGCAGAGCTGAGCTGTCTCTGGAAGGTGGCTGGGGTTGTTGGGGTGTTGGGTTATCCGTGGCCTCACTGCCCACGTGTCACTGTTTGCTGTTGCTGTGTGTCACCGTGTCGCTGTAAACGCTGCTCTTTGCTCTCCCCAGGAACAGAGACGGGGCACTGCCGGGCAGCAGCCACGCCCGGGGCGGCGGCGGGTGGCGCGCAGAAGGGCAGCGCGGGGCAGACGGCCGACATGGCGGAGTTCATGGATGACCTGACGCTGCGCTCTCCCGAGCGCGGGGGCTCCCCGGCGCGCTCGCGCTCCTCCAGCCGCTCCTCCAGCCGCTCCTCGCGCAGCTCCAGCTCCAGCAGCTCCTCCGGCCGCTCCTCGCGCTCCGGGAGCCGCTCCCGGTCCCGCTCCCGCTCCCGGCGGCGCCGCTCCCGCCGCCGCTCCCGCTCCTACTCGCGCAGCCGCTCGCGCTCCCGCGGCTCCCGGCGCTACCGCGGCCGCTACCGGCCCCGGCGCTACCGGCAGCGCTACCGCCGGCGGCGCTCCCGCTCCTGGTCCCGCGGCAGGGCGTGCTTCCGCCGCTCCTACTCCAGGAGCCGGAGCCGCTCCCGCGGCAGGCGCTACTACGGCTTCGGCAGAACCGTCTACCCCGAGGCCTACCGCGGCTGGAGGAGCCGCTCCCGCACGCGCTCCCGCAGCCGGTCACCGCTGCACCTCAGCGAGAAAGGTACCTGGGCTTGGCTTGAACCAGGGGATTGTCCTGCTTGCTTGGTTTGTGAAGTCCAAGTGGAAAAAAAGTCAATGTGGGGACAAATGTGTTTAATAAAAATTGGGTTTAGAATGTTAATTGGCACGGGGGACAGGCTGTGATGAGTCCCAGCTGAGGTGCAAAATCTGTGGGTTTTAGGCTTGAGTAGGTACACGTGGATTTTAATGTGACACAAAGCACTTTTTTTATTCCTTCCTTTTGTAGACAAAAGGGAACTCCTGGAAATTGCAAAAGCCAATGCTGCCAAAGCTCTGGGAACAGACAACATTGTCCTGCCAGCGAGCCTGAAGATCTCTGCTCCTGCCAAGGAGATCAAAACGGAGAAGCAGGAGCGTGAGGAAGCCACGGAGTCAGCTGAGGTAAGTATGGAGTGCTCTCCCTGCAAAGGTAAACACCTCTTAGACTTGTCTGCATGGCTGTGCTGTAGTTCACCTGTGGAGGTTGTGCTTATGAGCTCAAACTCTTGAACAAAAACTTGTCCAGAAGCCTCGAGGCTCTGCCTTAAGCTGGGAGCACAGAGGCCCTCGCTGAGGTGGTTGATCCCCTGAGTGTCCAGTAGGGACAGCTGGGGAAGGAGAGGAGACTTGTTCCTTTGACTTGTTCTCCTCATGGGATATTTCCCATTAATTCCACTAGTTTATTTCTGACCTAAAACCAGGAGTCTCCTTGCCAAACCTAGTGAATAGTCTGGGGTTATATATTTTTTTAAAGGTTAAATCTTTCTGCATTTTGTAACTGTTAAAAGCTTTTCATGTGCAACAAACTGTTTCCCAGAAATTCCATACCCAAGCACACAATGCATTTTACATACTTTATTTCTGTCTTATAGAAATCATGACTATGGTTCCAGACATGAGGAAGAAAATCTGGTGGTAATTAAGGGACTTTGTGGGCTGTAGCTGCTGTGAATTGAAGGGAGGGAGAAACTCGAGCAGCTTAAAGTGAATTTTAGCTTGTTTCTGTCGTGGTGTGTTACCCTGAGTGCCAGTAAATACAAACGTGCAGCCACTGCCTGGCTCGGGTGCTGCTCTTGGAAAGGGAAGTGACTTTGTGAGGGTTTGACACAAACGGTCCAGGCACCCCTTTCATAAACATATGCAATATATTGCAGATGTTGAGAGAGTACAGAAGAAGAGGCCTGCCTCCCTTGCAGATAAGTTAATTGCTGTTCTCCAAGGACGGGTGCAGAGCTGCTGCCCCTCGCTGGGGGTGGCCCCGGGTCCTCCCGGGGCTGGCACGGGGCTGGAGCTGCCTCTGTTCCTGGGCGTGGGCACGGCTGCCCGTGCTCCCTGGGCTCAGCCCTGCTGTGTGTGGCTGTGCAGCTCCTTTAGATGAGAAACTGAACACTCCCCAGCTGTGCTGTGCAGGACTGCCTGCCCTGGGTCGGGGATCCCCTGCTAAGCTCTGTCTGCTCCTCTTTAGCAACCTGGGAGTGCAGCTGAGGACGTGACCAAGGCTGGCATGGAGAGAGCAACCATCCAGAGGAGCATTTCCTTCAGCCCTAATGTGAGTGATGCACTCCCAGCCCTCCTGGCTTGGGCTTTTCCCAAATAACCATCTCAATAATGGTCACAGAAGGAATTTAATGTGTGATCATGATTTCCCTGCAGGAGGTGCTAGAGCACCCCGAGTACACCTCAGCAGTGTGTTTGAAATAACTGTTCACCCTCAATCTGAACAATTCAAAACTAGAACTGGCTTAAAACACAGCTTATCTCAAATTACATTTTCAGTAAAGCAGACTCAGGATTCAGGGATTTCTCCTGTGTTAAGTGCACGTGATTGATACCCAGTGTAAGCATCAGGAATTCCAGGAGCTGGAGAGAAAACATTTACATGATTTATATGATCAGCACAGATAACCCCGTGGTTTTAGCCCATTTTCTTACAGGAAATGTCTTTTTTTTCCCCAGAACACAATGGCCAAGCCTGCCCTGCAGAAGCCAGTGAGCCACGTTGTGGTTAAGGAGCCAGTGGTGTCTCCAGCCAGGGAGGATGACAGGAAGGGAAGCCCCTATGGGCAGTGGGTTCCTGTCAAGAAGGAGGAGAAGAAAACATTCCTGAACTTTTCACCCAAAAGCTCCCTGTTCCGGGCACGCTGATGGGAGTCCTGGCAGCCTGCAGCACTTCACCCTCAGCACAGAGGGACACTTCTGATGGGCTTGAAGACTTGTTAATACTGAGTATTTATTTTGAGGTCTTAATTTTTGGAATCTTAGGTTTCTCTTTCAGATAGAGAGCACACAGATCCAGAAGCCACAGATGGGAATCTTGTGTATATTTGTAAATATTTTATATTGCTTTATTGGACTAGAACTTGCAGGTGGGTAACTTTTTCTAAACCATAGTTGAGTAGCTGTTCTTTGAACACCTGGATTTACTTTGTGTAACTGTTTACTTCAAGTGAATAAAGTTTAGTTTTGCACTGGCTGTGTCGGGCGTTGGGCCTGAGTTCCTGTGGTTATTCCTGGGTTCCTTGCACTCCCAGCTCCTCCCTGGAGGGGAACACAGGAGAGCTGTTGGATCATTCTGAACGTGGATCCTGCCTCCATCCAGGCCTGGCTCCCCTCTGGCAGTGGGGATTGTGCAGGATTGCAGCTGCTGCCACAGGAAGGGTGGCAGTTCCCAGTGCCACTGTCCCTTCTGCTGTCACTCCAGCTGCTCCAGCGTTGTGTTCATTTGGTTTAGGATCAGCCTCCCTGTGGGGCAGGAAGGGAAAGTGCAGGAGGGTTCCAGGAGAAAGGAATTCAGGAACACAATGGTTGGGAGTAACTGGTTAAACCTGGGTTTTGTGTAAATAAATTACTAATAAACTGAATTGGACTACTGGTGTCAGAAAGGTTCTGGAACAAATCCTGGAATGGGTGGGAGGAGCCCGTGTCCATCCTGGCCCTGTGGGTGAGGCTGGAGAGCTGCACTGCCAGGGGCAATCCCACCCTGGAATTCCTGAGGGACAGGGGGGAATCCCACCCTGGAATTGCTGAGGGACGGGGGGGAATCCCACCCTGGAATTGCTGAGGGACAGGGGGAGCTGCCTTTCCATGGGAATGTCACTGCTCCTCATCCTGCTGCCAAACAAACCCGAGGAACACACACCACCTCCCAAATTAGACCAAAGAGTTTATTCAGAGCACAGAAGGCAGAACCTGGCTCCTCCTGCAGCCAAAGCTATTTACAGCTGAATTCTGCAAATGGTTCAGCAGGCTAAACACCGAGCCGAGAGAGCAACTGCTACAATCTACTTTTGATACAATTTAAAACAGAAAACGGCAACAGAGGAGCCAGGAGTGAGCAGGGGCAGGAACGCTCACAGGGCCCAGGCTCAGTTTGAGCTGAGCTGTGCCAGGCTCTGTGTGAGCTGTGCCAGGCGGGCTCACAGGGCCCAGGCTCAGTTTGAGCTGAGCTGTGCCAGGCAGGCTCACACGGCCGTGCCCCTCTCCAGGTTCTGTTTGATCTCAGCCGTGTATTTCCCGTAGAACCTCTCTGCCTTCTGGTTGAACTTGGCGTTCCTCTCGTTGATGTAGTCGATGTCGGCGTCGTCGTTGTAGGGCCGCCTGCGGCTGTACTTCTCCCTCTTCTCGATCCTGGGGGGCAGCAGGGGCTGAGCCTGGGCCTGCACCCCCCCAGCCCAGCCCTGCCCTCCCCTCTGTCCCCGTACTCACTGCTTCTCCAGGTCTGCCACCATCCTGTCCACGCCCTCCTTGGAGGGCACGTGGGTGCCGTGCAGGAGGCTGTCCGAGGTGGGGTACAGGGCCTCCCCGCTGTGGGCACACACGGGCAGCACTCACAGCCCTGCCAGGGCTGCGGGGTCTGAGAATCCCAGGAGGGACCTCAAAGCCCCTCCAGTGCCACCCCTGCGCCTTCCATCATCCCAAATTGCTCCAAGCCCTGTCCAGGCTGGCCTTGGACACTGCCAGGGATCCAGGGGCAGCCACAGCTCTCTGGGAAATCTCTGCCAGGCACTCAACACCCTCACAGGGAGGAATTTCTTCCCAGTGTCCAAACTAAATCTCCCCTCTTCCACTCTGAAGCCCTCACCCCCTGTCCTGTCCCTCTGTGCCCTCGTGGTTTCCCCGTTTTTGCCCGAGTTCCACTGCCACACCTCATCCAGCTCCAGATGACAAATGTCAATATTAAACAGAGGGACCAGCAGGTGCCTCAGGAAGATCCAGAACCCTCAGAAACACCAAATCTGTCTGAATGCAAACTGGGCAAAGTCTCAGTCCTTAAACCAAGCTTAAAAACCCCAAACCCTGCTCCAGGAGGAAGCGCCCGATGACAGAAACGTGACCTCACTGGGCGAACATTTCAGCAATGAACTCGTTAATCACCACACGTGAGGCATTAATAACCCCAGCACGCCCCAGGGCAGAGCAGCCAGGATGGCAGAGGTGCCCGGGCTGGCAGCAGCACTCACCACTGCTCCTTGAGGCGCTCGTACTGCTCCAGGTCGGGCTTGATCTGCCGCGTCAGCCGCTGGTACTGGCGCAGCTGCGCCGCCGCGTAGTCTGGGGGGAGAGGGGGGTCAGTGCAGGGCGGCACCGCGGGGCTTGCAGCTCATCCTGGGGGTTACAGCTCATTCTGGGGCTTACAGCTCATCCTGGGGGTTACAGCTCATCCTGGGGGTTTACAGCTCATCCCGTGGGGCTTACAGCTCATCCCGTGGGCTTACAGCTCATTCGGGGGGGTTACAGCTCATCCTGGGGTTCAGCTCATCCTGGGGGTTACAGCTCATTCTGGGGGCTTACAGCTCATCCCGTGGGTTTTATACCTTATTTCATGTATTTTATACCTTATTTTATGGATTTTATAGCTTATTTCGTGTATTTGATACCTTATTTTGTGGAATTAATAGCTTATTTTGTGGATTTTATAGCTTCTTTTATGTATTTTATGGCATTATTTTTACATATTTTATAAGCTCATCCCGTGGGTTTTATACCTTATTTCATGTATTTTATAGCTTATTTAGTGTATTTTATAGCTTATTTTATGGATTTTATAGCTTATTTTCTGGATTTTATAGCTTATTTTGTGGATTTTATACTTTATTTCATGGATTTTACACCTTATTTTATGTATTTTACAGCTTATTTCATGTATTTTATAGCTTAATTTATGTATTTTATGGCATTATTTTACAGATTTTATACCTTATTTCATGTATTTTATACCTTATTTTATGGATTTTATAGCTTATTTCGTGTATTTGATACCTTATTTTGTGGAATTAATAGCTTATTTTGTGGATTTTATAGCTTCTTTTATGTATTTTACGGCATTATTTTAACATATTTTATAGCATTATTTTATATATTTCATAGCATTATTTTTATATTTTTATCTTTTAATACTTTTTATATTTATCACATTTTGTGTATTTTACAGCATTGCTTTAAGCTGAGCTGTGCTTTTTGCAGGCACTGCCCCTTTTACCCCCGATTAAATTGATACATTTTGCACCCCTGAGCGGCGTGTGCCCTGTGACAGAGCTGGCACGGCCAGGCTGGCCCAGCCCGGGGCTCACCTGAGAATCCCAGGTCGGGGTTCTTCCTCTTCCTCTTCCTCTCCCAGCGCTCGGCGTCCTCGGCGCTCACCTGCAGCAGCTTCACGCGCTCGTAGTCCTCGCCCCTGGCAGCGCACTCCTGGGGGGACAGAGGGCAGCCTGGCCTGGGTGAACCTGGCCTGGGTAATCCTGGTTTGGGTAATCCTGGCCTGGCTAATCCCAACCTGGGTAATCCTGGTTTGGGTAATCCCAACCGGGGTAAACCCAGCCCTGCACAGCCCAGCCCGGCCTGGCTAATCCCAGCCTGGCTAATCCCAGCCCAGCTAATCCCAGCCCTGCACAGCTTCACGCGCTCGCAGTCCTCGCCCCTGGCAGCACACTCCTGGGGATACAGAGAGGGCAGCCTGGCCTGGGTGAACCTGGCCTGGGTAATCCCAACCTGGGTAATCCCAGCCTAGGTAATCTCAGTTCTGCACAGCCCAGCCCAGCCTGGCTAATCCCAGCCTGGCTAATCCCAGCCCTGCAGCAGCTTCACGCACTCATAGTCCTCACCCCTGGCAGCACACTCCTGGGGACAGAGAGGGCAGCCTGGCCTGGGTAAACCTGGTTTGGGTAATCCCAACCTGGGTAAACCCAGCCCTGCACAGCTTCACGCGCTCGCAGTCCTCGCCCCTGGCAGCACACTCCTGGGGATACAGAGAGGGCAGCCTGGCCTGGGTTAACTGGGCCTGGCTAATCCTGGCCTGGCTAAACTGGGCCTGGCTGAACCCAGCCCTGCACAGCCCAGCCTGGCTAATCCCAGCCTGGCTAATCCCAGCCTGGCTAATCCCAGCCTGGCTAATCCCAGCCTGGCTAATCCCAGCCTGGCTAATCCCAGCCCTGCACAGCTTCACGCGCTCGTAGTCCTCGCCCCTGGCAGCACACTCCTGGGGATACAGAGAGGGCAGCCTGGCCTGGGTAATCCTGGCCTGGGTAAACCTGGCCTGGGTAATCCTGGCCTGGGTGAACCTGGCCTGGGTGAACCTGGCCTGGGTAAACCCAGCTCTGCACAGCCCAGCCCGGCCTGGCTAATCCCAGCTCTGCACAGCTTCACGCGCTCGCACTCCTGGGGATACAGAGAGGCCAGGCTGGCCTGGCTAAACCCGGCCTGGGTAATCCTGGCTTGGCTAATCCGAGCCCAGGCCAGCCTGGCTGATCCCAGCCTGGCTAAGCCCAGCCCAGGGTGACAGGGGTTGATCAGCGCAGGGGTCAGGGCTGGCCCCTGGGCAAGGCTGGCACCGTGTCCCTGCCCCCGTAGCCCAGCCCAGGGTGACAGGGGTTGATCAGCGCAGGGGTCAGGGCTGGCCCTGGGCAAGGCTGACACCGTGCCCCTGCCCCCCCGGGCTCCGGGGCACTTCTTTACCTTCTTCTTCTCCTGCACCTGCAGCTCCCACTCCAGCCGAGCCTTTTTAGCCTCCCAGTTCGGGGGCAACTTCAGCCTCTTGTCCTCCTCCACCACCTCCTGGCTGTTCAGCTTGCAGGCCTCGTACTGCAACCAGACAGGCAAAACTCGAGAGAGAAAACCCCAAAACCCGGGGCACAAACCCAAACCCAACACCCCCAGAGCAAGCAGGGCTCTGCAGATCGCCCAGCCCGACCCCCAGCGCCAGCCGGGCAGTGTTTGGGCTCGGTTCTGGTGCCGCCCCCCGTACCCGCTTCATGTGGAGCTCGCGGAACCGGCGCAGCCGCTCCTCCCGTCTCTGCTCCGCCGCCGCCGCCGCGGCCGGGCCGGGCTCGGCCTCCTCCTCCTCCTCTTCCTCCTCGCTCTGCAACGACCCGCACTCAGCCAGGAGCTCCAGGAGGAGCCGGGAGCCCCGTCCCGCCCGATCCCGACCCCGCCTCACCCCAACATCGGCCTCGGGCACGCCGAGGCTGCTGAGGGCCGACACCGCCGCCGCCATCGCGCCCCGCCGGCACTTCCGCCTTCCGGAGCTTCCGGTGCTGATGGTACTTCCGGCTTCCGGCGCGTCCTGCCTGGCGCCCCCCAGCGGGCGGGAGGTGCTGTCGCCGCCGCCGGATCCCGGAATTCTCCCAAAATCCGCAAAATCCCTCAGGACTCCCAAAACAGGGCAACGTTACAGAAAAAAAAATAATTAAAAAAAAAGTTTTGTTGCAACTTCTGGGCGAAGACAGCCCAGTTTTCCGTGTCCGAGCTCTCCCCCCTCACACGGAGATTGATGATGAATTCATCCTGCATTGCTATGACCCATGTCTGTGAAGCCTTGGCGTGTGCACAGGGCAGGCAGGAGGGCTGGGGATGTTCTGTTTCCTTTGAGGGAAGGCTCCCAGAGCCTTCGGGTGAGGGCTGAGCGGGCTGGCAGCGGAGCCGCGGCCGCCCAGCAGAGGGAAGCGCAGCCCCGGCCATGAGCCGTGCCCTCAGCGCGGCTGCCCTCCGATCCGGGATTAACAGCACCCCGGAACCCTCTGCCCCCTCAGCTTCACTGATCCGGGATTGAAAACACCACAGAACCCCTCTGCCCCCTCAGCTTCACTGATCCGGGATTAACAGCACCCCGGAACCCTCTGCCCCCTCAGCTTCACCGATCCGGGATTAACAGCACCCCGGAACCCTCTGCCCCCTCAGCTTCACTGATCCGGGATTAACAGCACCCCGGAACCCCTCTGCCCCCTCAGCTTCACTGATCCGGGATTAAAAACACCACAGAACCCCTCTGCCCCCTCAGCTCCGCTCCCTTGGGTTAAAACCACCACAGAACTCCTGTGTCCCCTCAGCTCCGCTTCCATCCTCTGCTAAGGGATTAAAAACACCCCGGAACCCCTCTGCCCCCTCAGCTCCGCTCCCCTCCTCTGATCCGGGATTAAAACCACCCCGGAACTCCTCTGCACCCTCAGCTCTGCTGCCGAGGGATTAAATACACCACAGAACTCCTCTGTCCCCTCAGCTCTGCTCCCCTGGGATTAAAAACACCCCAGAACCCCTCTGTCCCCTCAGATCTGCTACCAAAGGATTAAAAACACCCCAGAACAGGGGATTGGGGAGAGGGGGAGCGGGTTTAGAAGGCCCAGCTGGGGGAAAGGAGAGAGTGTCCCACTGGGGTTTGGGGTTTTTTGGGGGGTTTGGGGTCTCCCCTCACCTGAGCCCTCTCCACATCCCCAGGCTGTGATGGGGTTTGTTGGATTTCCATGGAGAAAATTCCTTGGATTTCCAAAGGGCCACCATGCCAGGGATGGGGACAGGACAGGGACAGGGACAGGGATGGAACAGGGTGGAATAAAGGGATGGAACAGGTTGGAATAAAGGGATGGAACAGGGAGGAATTCAGGGCCAAGCTGCAAGATGGAACAGGGTGGAATAAAGGGATGGAACAGGGTGGAATAAAGGGATGGAACAGGGAGAAATTCAGGGCCAAGCTGCAAAGGCAGAGTTGGTGCTGTCAAGCAGGAACTGGGGCAGTGCTGCCCAAATCCATGTTTGGGACATCCCCAATGTCCCCCTGTCCTGTCCTGGGACAGCCCCACCTTTGAGGTCTCCCCCAAACAATTAACCCCAACATGGAAATGGATCAAAACTTACAAAAGAGTGAAAACTCTCACTCAGGTCCATCTTGGGTGTACCCTGGCCAGGCTTTGCGCTGCCCCAGGCGTGTCCTGTGCAGGATTTTAAATAAATACATTTAAATATTTTTAATAAATCCCTACTTTACTCCTTTAACTCCGCCCAGCCCGTTCCAGGTGCTCTCTCCAGCCATCACTGCTGTGGGTGCCCAGCCTGGCCTGGCCCAGCAGGGAATTATCCCAAATCCCCAAATCCCAGAGCTCCTGCAGGGCTGCTCTGGCTGGCACTGACAGTGGATGTATTTTTAGATTTTAGAGTGTTTGTGTTTCTCAGAGCTGCCTCCATTGTCTCCTCCAGCTCTGCCTCCCCTGCAGGGCCGAAATGAAATGAAAAATTCCAGTTCCATGTAGAACAGGGGCTGGAGCTCGGAGGAACTGACTCATCTCGGGTGGATTTGGGCCTCTCGAAGGGGAACGTCCTGGCCAGGGCTGGGGAGCAGCATCCCTTATCCCCCTGAGCTTATCAGGGACCTCAGCGTGCAGCTCCTGGGCTGGGGGAAAGGAGAGGCCTGGGAGGTTCCTGGAAAAACAATGGGAAAGTAATGGTGGCAGCGTGACAGAGGCACAGAGCCTGAGACCCCATGGATGTGACCCCCAGCCCTGGGGACAGGGATATGGAGTGTGCAGTGCTGTGACTTGGGTGTGCAATTCCAGGGTTTGGGTGTGCAATTCCAGGGTTTGGGTGTGCAATTCCAGGGTTTGGATGTGCAATGCCAGGGTTTGGGTGTGCAATGCCAGGGTTTCAATGTGCAATTCCAGGGTTTGGGTGTGCAATTCCAGGGTTTGGGTGCGCCACTCCAAGGTTTGGGTGTGCAATTCCAGGGTTTGGGTGTGCAATGCCAGGGTTTGGGTGTGCAATGCCAGGGTTTGGATGTGCAATTCCAGGGTTTGGGTGTGCAATTCCAGGGTTTGGGTGTGCAATTCCAGGGTTTGGGTGTGCAGTTCCAGGGTTTCAATGTGCAATTCCAGGGTTTGGGTGTGCAACTCCAAGGTTTGGGTGTGCAATTCCAGGGTTTGGGTGTGCAACGCCAGGGTTTGAATGTGCAGTTCCATATTTTGGATGTGCAATGCCACAAGCCAGACCTGCAGTGCCACAACTTGGACCTGCACCACAGTGGGTCACACTTGTGTCCCCACACCCTGTGATGGTCACTCCCCTGTCCCCACACCCTGTGATGGTCACTCCCCTGTCCCCACACTCTGTGATGGTCACTGCCCTGTCCCCATACCCTGAGATGGTCACTGCCCTGTCCCCACACCCTGTGATGGTCACTGCCCTGCCCCGCAGGTCCCTCCTGTCCCGGTGCCCTGGCAGGGGCAGCTCTGCCACCCCTCCCGCTGTCCCCTCCCGCTGTCCCCCCCGTGTCCCCCGGTGCCACCAGCTCGTGCCACGTGTCCCTCGCGTGTGAGCGCTGATCTCAGCCCCGCAGCTGCGGGAGCCGCTCGCGTTTCCTGCCCGAGCGAGCTCCGGGTGCTCCGCAGCTGCTGCCCCGGCCCGGGCGTGCTCCGAGCGCCGCGGCTGCGGAAGGAAGGAGCCCTGGCGAGCAGGGGATGCAGGAGGGGCTGCAGGGAGAGCTGCGGGGCTGCAGGGGTGCAGGGAGAGGTGCAGGGATGCCGGGAGAGGTGCAGGGATGCAGGGAGAGCTGCAGGGATGCAGGGATGAAGGCAGGGGTGCAGGGATGAAGGCAGGGATGCAGGGAGAGGTGCAGGGATGCTGGGAGAGGTGCAGGGATGCCGGGAGAGCTGCAGGGATGCAGGGATGAAGGCAGGGATGCAGGCAGGGTTGCTCACCCCACTCGCAGCCCTTTTTGGCAGTGACAGCAGGGCACCAATGTCCCCAGCCAGGTGGGGACCCTGACACACCTCGGATGTTTTGGGGGGACCGCTCTCTTTTAGTTTAAAACTCTCTCAGTTTAAAACTCCCCCCCTTTGGAAGCCCCATTTCCCCCAGGTGGGGATCTCAGAGCTGGGGCAAATCTCCTTTGTGCTGGCAGGAAAAGGGGCAGTGCCAGGGGTTCCCCAGACGTGGAGGAGCCCTGGGCTGGCTCCAGTGGCACACTGGGATCAGCCTCCCCGGGAAGCCCTTGGCAAGCACCAGCACTGATCTGGGGAGAGAAGAGGAAAACTGGGCCTGGAACTTGCACAGGACCCAATCAAACTTGTAAAGATAACATTAACCCAGCAAAATGGGGGTCTGAGCGGTGGGGAAATTAATTAGGGACAGATCTTATTGTGTGTGGTCATTAACCAGGGGGAAATTGGGAGGGAGGGGAAACGTGGAGAGGGTTTGGGTTTTAGGTGGAGGAGAAGCTGGGTCTGTGTCAGGCCAGTTCCTCTCCATCAGGCTCCTGTTTGCGTCCTCTTGGGTTGCAATTACAATCTTTCAGATCAGACACAAAATCATTGGGCTGGAGAGCCAAAAGTACCTGGCTAATGGGATTAACAGAAATTAACCTGGTTACGTGGGGACTCCATCGAAAATGAGAAAGTGCTGATGGCCAAAATCAATTCCTCCCCAGCCAAATGACTGCAGGCCTGGCTTAGGGTTTCAGTTTAATGCTCAGCCCTCCAACAATGAGCAGGGTGCTCATTGAATTAGGTCCTGATCGTGGAGTTCGAGTGATGGCAGTGGTTTGTCTTTAATGCCAGCAGAGAGCCAGGGGGGAAAATGGGAAATCCTCCCTGCTCTTCCCTGGAATCCCAGGGAGGGTGGGAGGGTCCTGCTGGGTGTCCTGGGATGGGCAAAGTGGGAAATCCTGCCTGCTTTTCCCTGGAATCCCAGGGAGGGTCCTGCTGGGTGTCCCTGGTGCTCTCATGAGGAGCTGCCTTGCCCAAGCCCTCCCTGCCCGTGCTCCAGGCCGGGATCAGAGCTGGAACTGGGGCAGTGGGCTGAGGAAATGGGGTGGGATGGTTTGGGATCCACAGAGGGGTGGAGAAATGGGGTGGGATGGGATGGGATGGGATGGGATGGGATGCACAGTGGACTGGGGAAATGGGATGGTTTGGGATCCACGGTGGGATGGTTTGGGATCCACAGCGAGGTGGGATGGTTTGGGATCTACAGTGGGGTGGGATGGGATGGTTTGGGATCCACGGTGGGATGTTTGGGATCCACAGCGGGCTGGGGGAATGGGATGGGATGGTTTGGGATCCACAGTGGGGTAGGATGGTTTGGGATCCCCAGAGGGCTGGGGACAGGAGGGTGGCACAGTTTGGGATCCACAGCCCCCCGGGCTGATAATTCCCAGCCCTCCCAGGCAGGGCTGCTCCTCTCGGAGCCTCTCCGAGCCTTCGTCTCCCGGCAGCTCCCGCCCGGTCTCATCTTTTCCCCTAAAAGCCGGAACCCGGCAGGGTTTCCTGGCTGAGAGCAGCCCGGTCGTTACCGTGCATGGCAAATGAAGCA